GCAAATTTGAAACTGAAGCCAAAGAAATCGTACAAACTGCAAAAGCAATAGGCGGCGAAGGATATTCAGATATTGTAGAAGGCGAAATAAACGAATTAGTCAAAAATGATGATCATGAAATGCCAAATGAAGAGCAGACGGTGAAAGCAGCGATAGGAATAAGGTGAAGAACCTTTATAAGAAGTTAAGTAAATTGTCAACAAAGGCTCAGTAACTGTCTGATTGTGTAATGGAGATAGATCAAAATGAAGAAAAAAGAGGATGTATGGATACTTTATGAAAGATATTAAAAAATTTTGCACTTCTTACCGCGAAAGGTTTGATAAGTTGCATCAGATATTGTCCCAAGGAAAAATCACCAGCTATTAAAAAATAAATAATTGTATCATGTACATTAGGTTTGTATAAACTTTCTGAATCGTATCCATGTTCTGAATTTTTTTTTTCCATAGAACATTGACTCTACAGAACGCGATTTTGCGGTTACAACGCAATCTGTTATTAGCGTAACCCCCTTGTTCGTCAAGGGTTTTTTGTTACCTTTACTACAGTATATAAGTTCATTATTGGAGGGGGGGGGAAAAAAAAAAAAACTACGTCCAAAGGGCCTTTTTTTAACATTTTTTCTCTTACCTTTATTTATTAAATATCATGTTCATCGCACTTAAACCATAAAATTCAGTTCAAGGGCAATATCGCAAAATAGTTTGAAATTGAGCTTATCTTTATAATTTCCGATACAGAGTCTCGCACGTTGGAGATAAAAATGTTTTTTCTGGACAACGTTGCCATTGCTCGCTTTGAAATTCTTGAGTTTGTTAATCAAAAATTCGTTAAAGTTTTACAAAAAAGGAAATCGATAATAAAAGAAATTTCAAATTTGTGCTTCCACATGCCCATATTCGCAGTAGGGGATTACGTGATTCAAAATTCGATGGCTCTATGTACCGTTGTTTTATCACAATGCAAGAAATATACAGACATTTATGCAATTTTTCATTTTTAATTTCCTCAAATATAATGCATATTTGGTGGCAACAGTTTGAAAAATGAAACGGGCATTTATAGTGTAGCAATGCAAAAAATGGAAAACTGTATTTCAGATCCATTTCTCTGATCAAAATGAAAGATACCAAATTTTCTACTTGCTTAAATTTACTTTTGCACCATCGAATAAAGAAAAAAAAAAATCTTTTAAATCAAATTTTAAAAATAATTTCCGATTTTTTTAAGCTAATTCTAGAATATATTTCTTTCCCCCCGACTATTCGATATTAACGATTTTGAAGTTCGAGTTCTAAAAATGTATCCGTTACAAAATTTTGAAATTATAAGATTCTTTCAAAATTGTGTATAAAATAAGAAAAATAGAGATACCTTTTAGTAGTAGTAAAAAACATAATTTCAGTAATATTATTTCCAATAATGTCCAAGTTATAATGAAAATTAGTTATAAAATTTTTGTAATATTGTATGAGATGTTTTGAAAAACGCCTTCCTTAAACATATAACTTAATTGTGGCTAATTACTTCCAAATTATTTTTGTATATTTGTTTTTATTTCAGTTATGTAATATTGTATGACCATACATCATACTTAATAACTATGATTTATACAGTGATAAAAGCCATTTACCTCCTACAGGGAAGGAGGTTAAATTGCTGTTGTATTTAAACATCCCACAGCCATTAGCAAGTAGTTACGCTTATTACCTTGTGTGAACCTGTCCATTTTTATCAAATTTTGCCAGTTTTCTATGTTATTTAATGTCTAAAGTCCATTTTACATTGCTTTCTAGTAAGAAAATGTGAATTATTAAAATGAGCAAGTATTTAATTTTATAAAACCAGAAATGTTGGCAGCTGGGCATCAGAATTTTTTTTTTTCCTTGCTTGTCTAAGGAGGGGAAGACAATTTTTCTGTATGTTTGTACAGCGTGTTTTTTTTTAACAGTTCTATTATTTGATTATGGAAAAATATACTAAAGTTATTTATAGAACAGACGATGAAGGGGAAAAAATATGTGTTTGTCGTGGACGCACTCAGGTGATCAATGTTTATTAATGTTTAATCAGTTTAACAGTATTTTTTCCCAAATTATTTCAAATTATGGGAAGTTTTCGATTAATTTCGTAAGTTGGCTTATTTTGTTTACTTTATTGCTCATTGATGCTCAAAATGATAGTTATGCTGTAAAATAAATCAATAAAATACTTAATCCATCATCATTTAATCTTTATTAGTCCAAAGAGGCTTTGTCCCTGAAGGACTATTGTTTTCGTTTTGGGATTTTGTGTCGGAACCCTAAGTGGCGTATCACTTTTCAAATCGTTGCCGTGAAATACTGTCGCCCTGTATTATATTTGAAGAAATTAAATAAGGGGAGGGGGAAGAATCTCACATTGTGATAAAACAACGGTACACCTAGAGCCATCCAATTTTGACGTAATCACGTAATCCTACTGCGACTATGGGCATCTGAAAGCCCAAATTTGGAATTTGTTTTATTATCGATTTCATATTTTGTAAAACTTTAACGAATTTTTAGTTAACAAACTGAACGATTTAAAAGTAAGCAATGGGCAACTCACGGGGGGGGAGCGTTTTTATTTCTAGCGCGCGGAACTGTTTATCAGAAATTCTAAAGATATGCTCATTTTAAAATTATTTTGCGACATTGCTGTTAACTGAATTTTATGGTTTAAGTGCAAAGAACATGTTATTTAATAAATAAAGGTAACAAACAAAACGAAAATAAAACGCCCCTTTGGATGTAATTTAAAATCTGAAACCTTTCTGATTTTTTTTTTTTTTAATACTTGTTTATTAGCCCAAAAGGACTATTAATTTCGAAATGGGATTTTGCGTGGAATCACTATAAATGCGTCCTTTCACTTTTCGTTCAAATCTGTTGCCATTCAGCAAAATGTAAGATATTTATTTATATTTCAAATTGATTCTGTCTGTTGTGAATTAATAAACTCTTCTATGATTTGAACACAGTAGTTCAGTTGTAAAGAATATTCGTTTCTTTCTTTTGAATCGGATAAATTTAAATAATAAAAATGCGTTTATTGCATGATCTGTCTAGTTAAAAATATACTTTCATAGAATGACATTATATAGTTTTTATTATTTATTTCATATTTTGTAAAACTTTAGTAAATTATTGATTAACAAACTCAACGACTGGAAAGCGCAGTGGCAATACTGTACTAAATAAAACATTTTTATCTCAAGTGCGCGAGACTGTCTTTCGGAAATTCTAAAGATATGCTGTTTTTAATATATTTCGTGATTTTGCTGTTGAATTGAAATTTATGTCGTGTGAATGTGAAGAATATGATATTTAATAAATAAAGTTAACACCCAAAACGCTAATAATAAAAAGAGAAAGAAAAAATTTTGTTAACCATCTTAGGAAGAAAACTGAACATTGATATGATAAACTGAGAAAAAAAAAAGGGTTATGTAAACACTATGTGACACACTGCATCGGGAGTTCTAAACATATGCTGCCATGCTGCTTTTAAAATTTATTATTATTTAAAAGACGTTTATTCTTCTAAATTACAAATGTTATTTTGAAAAAGTAATAAAAGAGTGCCGTTAAAAAACTGTTCTTCGAAATATGTTAAAAAAAAAAGATAGTGAGGTGATCTTGATACAGCGTAATAAATTTGTATTTTCTGTCTGACTGAGACTGGGAATCGGTAATGATTGGAAACAATCATAAGTTTCACAATCAGTGTCCTTTTTGATACCTTTTTGTTTTTCCGGCAGGGCTCACAAAGGTGTTTGTTACTGTTCAATATCATTACGTGTAACGTTTTTGTAATTAGTTGAAAGTTTCGACATTTTGTCACGTCGTTCCTCTGCAGCACTATGGTTTTCCCCATGTGTAACGTGTATACGAGCCAGTTTCCCTTAGAAAGTCCTCCACGAAGGCATCCCTCCTTTTAGGCAAATAGCCCTCGTGTGCCGCTTTGCCTTAATTAAATACACACACACCTCTACAGTACTCAAATGAGTTTTCATGAAATACGGAAAATAACTCAGCGTCCGTGACGCAATACTGCATAGTACTGACACATTCTTTAACAGGATAAATGAATGTACTTTTGTTTTCAACAAAAGATCACAACCTAGCGATTTCGGCGGCTCCGTGGTTCCTTCTTAGTAGTCATTTTGGCCTTTTTACATCATTCATTAACTTCTGGAAAGTAGTTTCGGTTTTTCGAAACGAATCGGAAAATTGTTTTATATTTTGCCGGTTTGTCATTTGGCATTCTACAGAATGTCTAGGAAATGTGTGAAATATGAATAGTTTCATACATTGCCGGCTAGTTTTAGGCATTATATACAATTGCCGGCTAGTTTTAGGCATTATATTAGGATGCCGGATTTCATGCTTTGCGGGTAACCATATGTACCACTTGCAATGGGTCAGCTTCTGTATACAATCATTTGGCGCTAAATTCCATTTAATCGTTAAGTTTTTATAGCCTTACTTGCAACTTCTAAAAACTATGAAATTTATTTATTTATGTGCATTAAAATATTTTTCAGCATCTCAAAAGATGAGATACAAAGCGCATGTAAAATACAGTCAAGTAATTAAGGTGTAAACAAACAGAGTTGTAAAAAACTAATGTCAGCCGCCAAAAAAATCGCCAAATTATCGCAACCGAAAACCTCTAACATGTTTCTGGAAACTGAGTTGCAGTAGAATCGTGGTAGTGATGTCTTGCAGTTCCTGAGCTTGCTGCAGCTTAGTCACAATGTATTCTCGTATTTTTATGCTTCCAGCTCTTTAACATAATTAGTATTTGTGTGAAGAATTTTTATTCTGTTTTTAAGAGATAGTTTGGTTTTTCTAAAATCTATTCTTAAAAAAAAATTTACATGTTTTTGTAACATGTTGCAGGCTTTTTATTTGTTGTGATTATTTATTTACTTTTAAGAATTGTACTTGATAGTGAAATGTTTCGTTTTTTAGATTTTTATCTATGTTGAAGGAAGAAGCATTTAATCCAGATTCACCTATCTGGAATCCGGATTTTAAACCTCCTGAGACTAATGCTTCAGGTAATTTTAAGTCTTGCTTTCAATCTCGGCTTTCATCATATGTGAACGTTTCCAAGTTTCTGCAATTCCCCCTTTCCAAAAAAGTATACAGTAATTGAGAATTTACATCTTTACTGTGTCTGTTGATAGATGAATATGTCAAGTGTCTTAGTATATACATTCTTTTATTTAAGTATGATATTCATTGTTAGATTAGTAGAATGGAATGGTGAACATCCAAAAATAAAAGTATTATCATTATTATTTTATATTTGAAATGCATTAATATGGTATTTCTATAGCCTTTAATTTATTGACTGCTATAACCCTGCTAGCTGTATTTATAAGATCAATTTAATTTCTTTCTCTTTTAATCATGTGTGTTTGTGGGAATAATGTTAGTAATTCTTTTCATGTTTAAATTGATTCAGTTGCTTATTATGATTTAGCAATTCTTTTTGCTTAGTTTTGCTCACAAAAAAAGAATATTTTAATGCTATTATTGGAAAAAAAAAAAAAAAAAAAAAAACCTCTGCAATGTAAAACCTTTTTTTTTTTTACATTTTACATAAAAAGTTTTTATTTGCAGAGGTTTTTTTTTTTTTTTTTTTTATTTAAAGGGGGCAGCCAGCTATTAATAGTTAAGAAAAAATACTTACTTAAGATATTAATTAATAAGAGCAGAGAGTGAATGTTTCTCCTAAAAAGATCATATATTTTTTTTTTAATTTTAAATTCAGGTGTGGCCAATACATCTTTTAAAAATATAGCCTTAAGAAGGATTGGGTTTCTTTAAAAATAAACTTGTTTCTTCCAAGAAAATATAAAAAATAGGAAGAAGTAAGTTTCACTTTCGTTTCCAATTCTTCTAATAAAATCAAATTTTCTTTATTTAAGATAATTCTAATTAGAATTTATTTTTTTACCCCTTGCTTTGGGAAAGAACCAGAATTTTCGGGTGAACTATTATAATTAAAATACATTATACATTGAAATGGTTCATCGGCTAATTCTGGATACAGAAAAAAATAAAGATTTTTATAGAAGAGAGATTTCAATTGATTTTAATGTTCCTCCTCTTCTGACAAAGTAGCATTGAAGTTGATTGAATTCCTCTTCTGTTTTTGTTCATTATTCTTCAAATTTCATTAATTTTTTGAAATGGGGTTTTGCTTGTTTGAAAAGTATTGGTTTTGACATTTTTTAAATTCTTTGTTGCATTTATAAGATTATTTGAAAATGATTAATTATGAATTCCAGTTTTTGTGTCAATTTTTGTCTGTGAAATATTAGTTCTAAATTTCTTACTTTATGTCTTTAATGATAATTTTTCTGCAGTTTAATATGCAAAAATACTAGGCATGTTTATATTTTGTTAAGTATTGTGTTGTAATTATAAATTATGTATAAATCTATTATTAAAAAATTGGTTAATAAGTAAAAACAACTAATTTCTGAATTTCTTCTCCACCATTGAACAAACCTGCTAAACCTTCGGAGAATACACCATTTCTAAAACTTTATTTCATCCCGATGTTATTTACAATGCATCAAATTTTACGTGGAAAAAAGAATGTGAACTCTTGTTTGTTGAAATTGTTAATGTTTCTCATCAGTTGTTCTAATGTAAAATAGACTAAAGTTCAGCAGGATTAAAGCAGAATTTTCCCTGTTTTGAATTTATCCACAGCAGTTGTATCTGTTATTCTTGTAATAAATTTACAGGGTTCGTACAGTCCTTAAAAGTTCTTAAATTTTTTGGAATCGATTTTTGGTCCTTAAAAGTCCTTAATTTTGGCCAAAATCAGTAGAAGGTCCTTAATTTTAATCATCTGAAATTTCTGTCTGTTTTTACGACTGCCATTTTGTGTGTGAATTAGCATTTTGGAGGTATATTTTTGGCGATTCACTGACGTATATGGTTATCTTTTGAATGGGTTCATGGGTTATAATTTGTTTCTATTTTTAGTATAAATGACGAGATACTCGAGTTTCTAAGCAAGAAGTGAAACATAAGCATTTCAAAATTCATTTATTGTAATAAAGAGCTCTTAAACAATTTTCGCTTTTGGGACTGTGAATTCTTTTATTAAACGCTTCAAAATTTGGCGACTTGTCAACATTTTGCTGATTTTAAGACCAGTTTCTATAGAAAATGTTTAATTCTGAAATCAGAATTTTTCGATGATTTTTTAAAAAAATATCATAACTTTGATAAATAACATTAAAATAAAACATTTTTATTTTCTGCTGTCATATTATAAAGTTTTATTTTGGCAACTTATTATACAATATTTTGAATCTGAAAAATAAACAAGGTATAATGCTATAAAGCACAATTTATGAAACATAGCTCTTAGCAAAAGCAAAATTAGCTATGTAATTAATTAAAAAATCATCTTTTTAATTTTTACATAGTAATCGTTTTTCCCATGTAATTATCTCGACTGTTCAAAATTCTCAGAATATGCATCAAGTTTTCATCTATAAAGTTATTTTTACACATTTTCCCTCCCCCTTTTTTCCCCCTTTTTTTTTTTGCAAATATTTCTGACTTTTCGCTGTTGCAGAATTTGTTGGAGATAATTTTTCTTTAGTATTTTTGATATTGCAGCTTGGAAAATTTAGAAAGGATTTGAAAGGCAAGACTTACAGACCCCACGATTCTAGAAGATTCGAGAAAATATGTGACAAAATGAAAAAAATGTCTCCATGGTATCAACGCGTAATGGATGTATTTTACAGAATGTTTGCGATAAATTTCTTACTGTTTGGAGAACGTGTGGAAGAACAATGAAGACATGAATAATATTTGAGTCTTTTTATTCCTGATACTAGAATCTTTTTCTTAACATGTTTATCTTCCCCCTATTTTCTCTACTTTTCACTAGGCACAGCATGGAAAATATCAAAAATGCTTCTAATCGTATCACTTGTGCAGGCATATTATAGAAAGAGATTTTTTATTAATAAAGAAATTGAAAACTTACTATTTAAAAGATCCATCTAATATGTTTTAATGCATCATACACTTTTTCCCATTTGATGCAATCTCTGTGGATCTTAAATTCGACTGCATAGTGCCTTTCTAAATTCTGCTTCCAATGCCTGTCTAAATTCTAAAAGTTTTGCCATTTCTAGATTTTGTTGTTTTGGTGTGTCACTAAATTCTAAAAATTCTGCCACATCAGCTCTGTAACCGACCTTTACCATATATATATTTCATATTTCTTCTGAATTCCATATTACTAAAAAAATTATTCACTTTTTCTATACATTCTAAATGCATTTAGTGATTTTAGAAAAACAGAAATCCTTAATTAAATCCAAAAATTCTAAAATGAAAAGGAAACATTCTGAAGAAAGAAACTGAATACATAGAAAATTATTCTTCAAAGATATGTTTAGTTATTATTATGTAAATAACCCAATTGGTTATGATTTCAGCCTTTACTATAATTTTCTATTTCTGTTTCCTTCATATGATAGAGGTTACTGAAGCCAGGTTAAATTACAATTGTGTAATCTTTGACCACCACTAATCAACATTTTTAGTTTGAATTTGAGTGTTCTTGTTTAATTACGTCACCGTGAGATAAAATTGACTTTGTTAGTATCAGAACATGCGTTTATGTTTGTTTTAAGTTCTTTTCAAATAAGAGGCTTATTTAAACCTTTGCCCGATATTGTAGTTCCTTTCAGACATAGTGATAATTTGTTTCACGTCTGTCGGGGGTTTTGGACTATTTAACTTTTACCAGATCAAGTAAACCCTCATAAGTACATTGTGGAGAGGTTGACAAATTAGGAGATAAAGCACGCAGAAACTAGCGAGAGCATTGGTTTGCATATTGAGACAAATCTCTAATTATTGTTAGAAAATATGCTTAAAGAGAAGGAAATCTGTATAAACTAGCCAAAATGTTTGGGAAGGCTTCAAATTAAAATGACTGATAAATATTTTGTTGAGTGTTGTTGTTATAAAACATAAATGTTTTGTAGCTTTTAATGTGGAGTTATTCTAATATCGTTTAAGAATCAGTGTCATAAATAACATGTATTTTCAAATGTGAAATTTTATTAGATTTTGATTTTAATAGGGCTTTTTTAACAAATATTGTTAAAAAATAAAATTTAATACTGGCCATGTAAGTCCATAATGACTACGGTTACCTATTTACCTAATTTATTTATTTATAACTAATGGCTTACCCTTAAAAATTATCTCTACGTATTAAAGCGAGTTATTGCCTATCATTAATACTCACAACGGTCAGAAGATAAAACACAAAAATGTAGAAATTCAAGTAAAGCTTATTATTTGCATCTAGTGAGACTTAATACAAAACAGCTTATGACCTCTGGTGCTTTAATGGCTTATTGGAACCTGAAAGTATATTAACTGGGTTACAATCCCTGGAACTCTACACGAAGCTATGACACTAACTGCATCAGAGCCTGACTAACTTTTAACACTTGCCAACTGTACCTACATCATGCCTTTCAGGTTTGTTCTAATCAGCAGGTCTCTTTCTAGGCATTCAGTCTAGAGACATTCAGTCTTTTATTATGAATGATGCTGATTATGATACTTCTCATTTTAACCTATGCCATTTGACATAAAATCTACCTGCTATTTACTAAACCTCTAGACAAGCGGTTCTAAACCTTTCGGACTAATGTGTACCATCTGAATAAAAATTGAAAACCTTTAGTACCACCAAAGTACTACTACCACCACCACTTTTGAACAAAGCTCAGATCGCATCAATTTACGAGTGTTAGAGAAAAAACTCAATCAGGATGTTGGGATTTTATTTTTTGAAATAAATAGTTAAAAATACTTTGCTTCTTTGTGTACCACCTATTTTTTCTTGCTTACCACCGATTGAGAACCTCTGCTTTAGACTGACCAAGTATGTGACAAAATAAGACAAAAAAATTAACATAAAGCTAACTATTAGTAAAATGTAAACATCACTTATTTTCTTTCAAATATGTCCAACCTATTATAAATGCTACTTGTAAAATATTTAATGCTACTTGATAAACTGCATGAAGTTTATTTTATTCTCAAACTTATTCATAATTATGTTAATTAATTTACGTTTGGTAATAATGCATACTACTTATGGATCTATTTTATTTTTAGGATGGTATTAGAAAAGTGAAATTCAGGCATAGGATGATATTTTTAATTGAATTTAATCAGTTCCCATATGCTCATAGGTCCTTAATGTTTTTCATTAATGGTCCTTAAAAGTACTTAATTTCCATGTGCAGAAATGTGTACAAATTCTGATTTAATTAAAAATTAACATTATGTCTCTCTTTATTACAGGAATTATTATGACATGTAATGATATACAAAACAAACCAGTTGAAAAAAAAGGTAATTTTCTTTTCATAAAATTAAAATTATTATTTATTCATAACTTTAAAAAATTCCTAATTACATTTATATCTGAATATGGTATACAGTCAAAAGTCGTTAATCCGGAATGATCTCTAATCCGGACCTCAACAAACTTTCTGCGCATGCGTCAACGCATAATGCGTTCACGCATGCACATAGGCGTTTATGCATGCGTGTAATACCTTTAGGCATGCACGTATGTGTATGCGCATAATACGTTTACGCATGTGCGTTTAATTTATAACGTATGGTATAAGCTAAGCTAAAATTATCTATTTCAGTTAATGTTGCAGATTGCATTGTTCCTTAATCTTCGAATTGGATCCGGCTTATTATTTTTTGCAGACTGTTTGAGCAATTTTATAAAAGTAAGCCTTAACTTTCGGTTATGTCAAATAGAATTTCCGATTCTAGAGCTGCCAAAGGACCTATCTATAAAGCGAAAACATGTTTTGATGTCCATCAAACAAAAAGTGGAATTGCTGCAAAAAATGGGTAATGTTTTTCTAACCATTCCGAAATCTGTTTATCAATTTCACACTACTCGGGGGGGGGGGGGCCATCGCGACGCGCAATGAACTGGAAGTTGATCTGTCAGCACTATCCTTATCTTCAGGGCAGATGTTTTTATTTTCTTCGGCTTATAACTCCTTACTAAATGTAGTATTTCATCTCGATGTACTCCGTCTTTGATATGATTTAAATCAAATTCCTCGTCATTATAAATATCACAAATACACATCAAATAGTTTTCTGGTTGCAATTTTGGCGACGCGCAATGAACTGGAAGTTGATCTGTCAGCACTATCCTTATCTTCAGGGCAGATGTTTTTATTTTCTTCGGCTTATAACTCCTTACTAAATGTAGTATTTCATCTCGATGTACTCCGTCTTTGATATGATTTAAATCAAATTCCTCGTCATTATAAATATCACAAATACACATCAAATAGTTTTCTGGTTGCAATTTTGGCGACCCCTGCTTTAGATCATAATTGCTCTTTATTTCATAAATTACAGTTTCATATTTTTAATTTTATAATTTCTGCATGCCATCGCGACGCGCAATGAACTGGAAGTTGATCTCTCAGCACTATCCTTATCTTCAGGGCAGATGTTTTTATTTTCTTTGGCTTATAACTCCTTACTAAATGTAGTATTTCATCTCGATGTACTCCGTCTTTGATATGATTTAAATCAAATTCCTCGTCATTATAAATATCACAAATACACATCAAATAGTTTTCTGGTTGCAATTTTGGCGACGCGCAATGAACTGGAAGTTGATCTGTCAGCACTATCCTTATCTTCAGGCAGATGTTTTTTATTTTCTTCGGCTTATAACTCCTTACTAAATGTAGTATTTCATCTCGATGTACTCCGTCTTTGATATGATTTAAATCAAATTCCTCGTCATTATAAATATCACAAATACACATCAAATAGTTTTCTGGTTGCAATTTTGGCGACCCCTGCTTTAGATCATAATTGCTCTTTATTTCATAAATTACAGTTTCATATTTTTAATTTTATAATTTCTGCATGCCATCTTACCAGATTTAAATTGATGATCGATAATCCGGAATCGCCGAAGTCCCGACAAGTCTGGATTAAAGACTTTTGACTGTACAATGTTACTACAGTACAAAGTCTTTAATCCAGACTTGTCGGGACTTCGGCGATTCCGGATTAGGGTTTTTTCCGGATTATAGATCATCAATTTAAATCACCAACATTTTTCACCCAACATTATTAATCAAGCAGTTAAAAAATTCTCATCTCAACACACTAAAAGGCACACTCTTGTTTTAGGAGATTATAAAAATTCTGTTGTCATTCCCTTCTTTCCATCAATTAGCTATAAAGTTGCACATATTTTGCAGAAATTTAACTTTCGGGTTGTGTATTCTCCCATCAATAAAATTCCGAGTTCCATACTCAAGGACCCCATTCCGGATATGAATTCCTGGGTATTTATAGGATTCCTTGCCAGTGTGGCCTAATTTACATTGGCCAAACTAAGAGAGCCTTAAAATTTTGCATCAAGGAACATGAGGCATATGTTAAGGAAACACAGAAGTCTTCTGTTGCTCAACATTGTTGATTGTTCTGGTTTCATCAACAGATGGCGCCACTTGCTTATTCCTGTCCAGGCTTTCTTATCTAGTCATTATTTCCTATCTTGCTCATTTGCGGTTTTGCAGCTGAGGATGGTGGTTCGGTAAAAACCATCGAAACTAGTCCTGCGAAAATTTTGAAAATATAACGCTAATTTTTGTTGTTTGACTTCTGAATTAGTATAAGAATTCTGTCAAAATTTTAAACTTACCATTGTGTCTGGAAAAAAGATTTTGGCTGAATTTTTCCAGCATTAGCTGTCACAAATAATTTCACGCAATGGAGGTACAATATTAACTCAAATAACCCTAACAGACTTTAGCATGATCTTTGCTGAGTGACATAGGTAAGCTGTTGCTTTTATTCATCTGATCTTCAGAGACTAAAGGAAGCATTCTTGAGACAGAATACACTATGTGAGAAATTACTGTAAATTATACCTGCAAACTTTTACGAATTTTTCGTAATTTTTACGAAAATGCATTTGTTTTTACGATTTTACGATCGTAATCCATTTTTTACGATTTTTTCCTTTTTCAAGTGTTTTAAGTGATTTTTGTCGAAATTTTAGAATTTTTCGCCAATTGTATCATGTTTTACCGCCAACTACCGACTACTTCGAATCCAGTAATCTGCGGTTTCTCCCAACTCGCCGCTTAACCAGCCAGTCCAATGTGCTGAACTTGTTTCTCCCACTCTTTTCTTTGTGGGCGCCAGATTGTTTTTTTCGCGTTCGCTTCAGCAGCAAAGGAATTACTCAGCTCAGACTTAAAGAGTGTGCATTGTCGCTTTTTTTTTTTTTTTTTTGTTTTGTTTGTTTTGCACTTGCTCCGAATTTTCTTAATACGTCGTTGTTACGAAATGAGTTAAAAAAAAACCGTATTCTCAATATTTTCGGCCTGCCTACAAAGCCGAATTTCCAACAATTAAAGAATCCTTCAAAGGAAATAACTATGCATTTTGCAACGTGTGCGTGTGTGACTTCATAATAAGTCGCGGTGGAAGAAGCGACATTGTGAAGCATGTTAAGACTAAAAAGCATGAAGTTAATGCTTCGGCAACGTCAAAGAAAGTGGATGATTTTCTGGAGAAGATAGACTTGATGTCCTCGTTGGTACCTAAAAGAATAAAAAGCTGATGGAAACAACCAAAATATGATAGACTAGCAAGAGTTTTATGTGCTATTCTCGTAATTCCACACAGTAATGCTGAGTGCGAGAGAGTCTTCAGTGTTGTGAAGAAAAACAAAAACTATGTTTCGTTCTTCAATTTCACCCAAAAACTCTAGAAAACATTTTAATTGCTAAATGTTATGAGGAAACTAATTGTTATGACAGGAAATTTTCCAAAGAATTTTTGGCTAAAGCCAAAAAAATGCACTCTAAATTCATTGCAATAATTTTTTTGTGTAACATTAAGTTCTTGTTTTATGTTTCCTAATAAATTTTTTAGTTACTACTTAATTGAGATTTACTAATGTAAGTACAATTTTCTTTTTTCTATTTGTATAAATTGTTATTTTTTTAATATCAAAGCATGATATTAATTCTTCGTGTTCTTCTGAATTTTGGAGAAATCTTCTAAATTTTTATCTTTAGAGGTTGGCAGGTATGGTAAATAGAATACACCAGGGGTTCTCAATCAGTGGTACGCAAAGAAGCAAAATATTTTTAACTATTAAATTTAAATATTAAAATCCCGACATCCTGATTGAGTTTTTTCTCTAACATTTGTAAATTTATGTGATCTGAGCTTTGTTCAAGAGTGGTGGTGGAAGTAGTACTTTTTAGTGGTGGTACTAAAGTTTTTCAGTTGTTGTGTAGATTATACATGTTAGTCAAAAGGTTGAGAACCACTGGGATACTTAGTGGGATAAAGCTTTGTATCTGGAATACATCGTGTAGAAAAATCCAATGGTTCCCCCCTCCGGCTGTTGAATATTGCTGAAGTGACAGGTCTTTTATAATTCTAATAACTTAAATTGTATGAACATAAGAAATGCATTTCTAAGAAAACTGGCACTATTTCTTATGAAATGGCATTTTGAAGAATTCGCTGAGTTAGCCACTTGCGATAAAAGATTTGCTGGGCAATGTTCAAAAAATAGAGTTACTACTGTGAAATGGCAGCCTGCAACATGTTTGGTTGCAAAGAACTCTTTGCATCTTGCAAAAGTTGCCAAGTGTAAAAACTGCTTCATACTTGTATGTTATCCCATGGATCATGAAAAGCTACCATCGAACTATCACAGTGATGGAGATCCCACCAAAGTTGTGGCAATTTTTCCTATGGAATTTTAAAAGATTGGATGTCTATTTATTAATAAAATAATCAGTATTGACCCAATTTGTTATTTGTACTTGCAAATAACAATTTGACACAATTTGTTTTGCATATGTAATTGCTGATTTATTATTTGATTTTTCTGAAAGTCATTTGTCAATTTCTGTTTTGTTAGACTGTTCAGTTTTACCTGAAGCTGTATTCAGAATGCTATGAGTACAGACTTCCGGCAGTTCTAATCTACAGTACAAAATTTGAAATCTGGACATTCAATATCTGGAATGATCTAAAATCCGGACCTCAAAACCACCAGCAACCCCCCCTTTTTTATGCTTTACGCATGTGCATTTAATTTTTTTTTTACACCAGAATAAAATGTGGAGAGTCCCGATTCTTAATTTCACTTTACTAAATAAATACCTTTTTACTGAAGAAACAATAATTTAGCATAAATTTGCATGATCAATAATTTGGCTACATAGCTGAGTATCTGCATGTCATACATCTCAAACAAAAACATTCTACATAGAAATATCATTGATTTTGTACCTACTAATATTTTATATCCCTGACACCAACCTGGTGAATAATTATTTATTATATTTTGCTTTCATCACTACATGTTTATCAACACATGACATCTTGAGTAATGACTCATGCAGCGATGCCCAACAATTTTTTTATAATAGTAATTTAATAACAAAGATTATGGTAACCTTTTATTTTTGTAAATTTTGTTACCCTTTACTTCACAAATGCTTGTTTTAAAATGCTTATATTAAGTTATTATTCTAAGGATCCTGCTATCAAAGAAAGTGTGTATTAATGAACATGATATGGTCAGTTGATTACGGCTGAGAAAACAGTAATAGACTAAAATAAATACCTGCAGGAAGTTTGCTCGTAATGTTTTAAACAGAACATCTGATAAATCAGAAGGCTTACAAAATAATAGAAATCAATGAAAGACCTTTTAAAGAATATCAGTTTATGAAATATCGACAATTTCATAGGAACGACTGGCACTAATTTGGAGGAATTTTCATAACTTAAACAGTAGATGGGCTAATATGTATGTACTTATATTTTTATTTATTTGTATAAAAATATTTAAAAAAGTTGCTTTGCTTGTTATTATAGGAACAAATATGGCAGCCAATGATATGCAAAGTAAACTTGTTGAAAGATCACATACCTCTGCATCACAAAGCTGGGAGACTTCTATGAATTCTGCTGCTTCAAAATTTACAAAATCATCTTCCTCTGAACATAATTCAGGTTTGTATATACATTTATTTATTTTGAACATTGTTTTGGTACTTTTCCGTTTTGCCAGCACAAACAATAAAGTTGCGAATAATAGTACAATTGATGCCAAACGGAATATCTTCACTGGTAACCTTTTACACCTCATTTTCAAAACAAGTTGCAGCCATTTCTTATGAGATGGGTTTCTTTCAAAACTGGCATAAAATTGCATAGAATTTTTACCAGATAGTTCAATTTTATGCCCTACGGCCACTCGCGGTAATTAAGTCAATTAGGATGCAATCGCACCGCTCATTGAGGCAAAAACACAACAGGCAAGTAAATTGTTAAATCATCATTCTAATGCTAACTGCACTAGAGAAGTAAAGCACTTGTGTTTTACATAATTATGAGTAGCTATCGTACGAATTGAAATATCTTGCATTTAACCTTGTATCCAAATTAGATTTAACTTAATTATGTAGCTATTACTGAGAGATCTATTTGTAGGTAGTTACGTGGATGAATCCTTGATACAACGGCAATCAGATGTTGAACATAATACATAGTAATTCTTAAATTAATGTCTTTTTACAAATTATTGTCTTTTTATTGCTTAAAACAAATTTAAATCAGATTAAAATGTTTATGGCTCAAATAAAAATCTGAACTAACATTTTTTATGTGTATACCGTATGTTGTCGCCAACAAAGTCTGCTTGGCGAGATTTGCGCCAGCGAAACGGAAAAGTACCAAATCTTTTAAGAGCAGCATATACTTCACATGTGCTAAACATTTTGCTTCTCTGTTATTATCATAAAGTTTTTTAGTGGTGATTGAAAAATATTCATAATAAGAAATGTTGTTAAAATGTCAGAAAATGTTGTTTTGTGAGAGATGTCACATTTGCCTTTAGATTATAATTTCACATTAGATTTAATTTTTCAAAATCAATAGTTTACATATTTACTGATACTGTATGGGATCTTTTGGCAAATGGGGCCCACCAGCGGCCAAGCAGTAAAGTCGCTGAACACTGGAAGTTCGGTCTAAAGTTCGAATCCCGCGAACGGGCTGGCTGCATGAACGTTTTCATGGTTTTCCCCATGTGTAACGTATATACGAGCCAGTTTCCCTTAGAAAGTCCTCCACAAAGGCAGTCCTCCCTTAGGCAGATAGCTCTCAAGGCTTTGCCATAATCACACACACACACTTTTGGCAAATGACACCTTTTATTGGCAACAATACCACATTCTTTGCTTCAGACAGGAAATGAATATTAAAAATGAACGTTCAGGCAATTATTTTTCCTTCACCATTTTTGTGTTCATTTCAAATTAGTTTTCAATATGTATCCTTACAATTTTGTCTACATTTAGTACTTGTAGGATGCTGTACAACTTATACCCGATCTCTGATCATCTGTAGTAAAGTTCAGGTGTCTTATGTTCTTATATCCATCTTCCTTTTTTATGTACAATTTAATATGACGGTAATTGATGTATTTTCAAATGTGAAAGTATGCTATTATCTAGAAAAATAGTTTCAAATTTTTACCGGACAATCCTAGGCATCATTACCGGATAATAGATAAGAAAGGCTGCAATAAGTGTGTGGAGTATCTGCTACCTGCGGAAACATGCTAAAAATACTACTAACGAAGCTGAACATATTGTTTATGTGAAATTTGGAATATATGTGCAAATATGAGACACTACCTTATATAGATAAAAGTGCATTGCAAGATTGAGCATGTGTGGTCATCAGTGCCGGGATGTAAAAAAAAATTCATTAAAATCATTACTAAATTATTTGGTAATGGAAGTTGAGGACTAGAGAGCAATTTTTAAATATAATTCAAGTGTCGATTAATGTGCAAGCAGTGCCATTTATCAGGTATCCACTAAAATTTAATCTAAAGTTCTTTATTTTTTCATTTTCACCTTTGGTCAATACACTAAACTGAAGTTTAAAAAAAAAAATAAATAAATAAAAAATAAAATAAAATAAATAAAAAAAAATAATAATAATAATAGGGGTCACATGCTAAAATTTTATGCCACTGGAGGGTACATTCTGTTCCTGCTATTTTTCACAATGCCTTCTTTACTTATACTAGTAGGATGTCTGTCTTCTACTTATACAGTCAAAAGTCGTTAATTCGGACACCCATAATCCGGAATGATCTATAATCCGGGCCTCAAAGCTACAAACTTTCTGCGCATGCGCACAGGCGTTTAAGAGTGCGCGTAAGACCTTTACGGCTGCGAATATGTTTGTGCGCATGCGCGTTTAATGTGTAACGGAGGTATAAGCTAAGCTAAAATTATCTAATTCAGTTAATGTTGCAGATTGCGTTGTTCCTTAATCTTCGAATTGGATCCGGCTTATTATTTTTTGCAGACTGTTTAGAGCAATTTTATAAAGTAAGCTTGAACTTTCGATTATGTCAAATAGAATTTCCGATATATATTTACTAACAATGTATTTGTGTCTACAAAGCGAAAGTATATTTTGAAATCCGAAATCTGTTTATCAATTTCACGCTGCGGATTGGAAGTTGATCTGTCAGCACTATCCTTATCTTCAGGGCAGATGTTTTTATTTTATTTGGCTTATAATTCCTTACTAAGTGTAGTATTTCATCTCGATGTACTCCGTCTTTGGTATGATTTAAATCAAGTTCCTCGTCATTATAATTCACTTCCGATAGTGAAGAAAATGACCCAGAGGTTATTGAAAACAAAACATTTCAATTGACAAATTAGTCGGTATTCTCAACACAGCAATTATAGGACTTGAACAGCTGAACTTTGTAACTAAACAAGGAATTATGTCTGTTTAATAGAATTAAAGAGAAAGTATTATCACATGCAACGAAGCAACTTACATTGAAAGAAATGTTTAATAAAGTAAACAAATAAATATTAATCTTTTTCTTTTTGTAAATTTTGATACCCTTTAGATCATAATAGTTCTTTAGTTTCATAAATTACGGTTTCATATTTTTAATTTTGTAATTTCTGCATGCCATCTTACCAGATTTAAAGGGATGATCTATAATCTGGAAAAATCGATAATCCGGAATTGTCGAAGTCCCGACGAGTCCGGATTAACGACTTTTGACTGTACTAGTTTATTCTAGGTTGCTAATGAAAGTACACTCAGTCTGAAAAGGAAGGGGATTCTGTATCTTCCATTCTATTGAGCTGATTGACAAAATTCAAATTGCTTTTTCATGTCTGAAAAGTGCCACTTATTAGCTTTATATATAGTGCTGTTCTAACATACATATTTTGACATAAAATCAGACTCTTTCTGAATTTACATGCCTCCTTCCCCCTTCTCCAATATTTGATTCTATGACTCAAATTATGCCTAACAACAAAAATTTTGTTGTGAAATTTAAGTGTAGAAATTTACCTCAACACACTTTTTTAACTTTGTGCCAAAAGTAATTCACTGGACAAACTTTTCAGTTATGGTAGATTATGCCAATTTTCCTTTCATTCTATCCAAGAGGAAAAAGTATAATTTTTTTCTTATATATATTTACTTCATATTATATTTTTTAATCACTGTCGTTGTTTTTAGGAATTTTTGCTTTTTAGAATTTTATTTGAATTTGCTTGAATTATAGTCCTTTAAATAGTTACTTTAAAAATTTCTGTTTATTCATTCGCATTGCTACTTTAAACATGTTTATTCATATAGTTTTTATTTGATTTTATTTATTTAAATAGCATTTCTTTTGAAAGAATGCTTTGTCACCCACTATTCATCACGATGCTTTTGAAAACTGCATTCTGTATTAAGAGAAAAATACCGTAAAGCACGGTTAATACATCTTTCGATGGGCCATTCAGAAAAGTATATAAATGAGAAAGCTGCGTCGTCCACATTTTAATTTAGAACAATATGCATATAAACAGTTTTCCATGATTTTATCACTGTGCCATTGCTTTACACAATTTTATCACCCTACATTTAGTTTAGTAAAGTATTATCCATATTTCCAGATAAGTTCAAATTTTTCATTTTTTAAATTGAAAAAATCAAATAACATAACATTAAAAAAATTACTAAATTTTATGTAAGTAATTAAATAAAAATAAACAAATGAAATATTTTATTTTCCTATTGTCTCAAACGAAACATAATGCCTTAATGATTTTTTTGTGGCATTCTGCAGATATATCCTTCTTTTCTTTTCTTTTTTTTTCCTATATAGCATGCTCACTTTTGAAACATCTCATTTTGCAATGTTCTTAGTTTTGTGCATATTTAAGTTGAGGGTTTTGAATCTATAGTTGAGACGCAGACATTTGCATTCAGACAATCTTTAATTCAGGTAATTTTGTCTTTCTGTTAGTATTATTAACCAATTCTGTTTAAAAAGTTCAGTCTGGCTTTAGCATTTTTGCTAATCTATGCTTTAAATATGTGCTGGTAAAATATCTGAACAAGATAATTCTATTTACTGTGTAATGTTTCTTTCAATCTTTCTCCTGTCTTAGCTTAGATTCCAAGAGCACCAAGTAGATATAAAGATCTATGGCAGAAATCCTTCCTTATTGCAATGAGTGGCAATATTCATCTTTGCTGCACAATACGCACATATGCATATCATAGCGTGAGGATAAAAACTTTTTCATGGAGACTTGCTACTTACATCCCTCCCTTTTTTTTTTTTTCTGCTTATTCATGACCACAGTCTGGCATCAGCTCGTGTGTGTTAATGTTTAAATATTTAGCTTCTTGTGAAATGTGCTTTCCTCTATTTAACTTATTCCAGCTTACAGTCAAAAGCAACTTTATTTAAAAGTTGCTTTTGACTGTAAGCTGAAGTTTGTGATTCTTATGTATTTCTAATGACCTTCTGATGAAGTCTAATGGGAATAAAACATCAACACAGATGTTTAGCCTTCGCAAAATAGGGAAGGGAAGTGAGAAATAAGTACCCTCAAATGCAGATACCTCACATATAGCTAACACTCTTATACATCAATTGTATTTCTCTGTGTTGCTTGAAATGCTCTTTTTTTGTTTTTCATACACAGCTGTTGTTAGTAATAACTATATGCATTTAAAAGCAGTAGGTGTGATTTAAATAGAAGAAACAGATGTGACGTAAAACAAATGTATATAAAACTGCTGTATTTAAAATAAGAAGCCTGGATTGTAGAAAAGGGTGGGGAAAAATAAATATAGTATAAGCAGCATTCTTTTTTGAAGTTTTGTATAACGATTAAGCTTTTCTAATCATTTCTTAAAGTTATCTGATGAACATGTGTGTTTATTAATGTACTATATCCATTAGCTTGTATTAGAATGAGCAAAATTACTCTTTTATGGGTTCAGATCAGAACTTTTTGCTCACCAAACTGAATTGGTATTTTTTTAATAACTCGCCACTGACCAACTGTTAACTTTATGAAAAAGATCAAAATGGAGAGTGAATCAAGAACTGTTAGGAGAATGGAGCAAAGGTAGAACAAAGAGCAAAAAGAATAAAAGAAGCTGTAGAATTGGAAAAATTCACTTTTATCAAATCGCCAGCTACCTGGACTAATTTCTTCAAACTAATTTTAAGATGCTTTAAAACCTCAATTCTGCATTAAACTAACAATAAAATTCTAGAATAAAAATTTTTCAAAAAGTTGGGTAATGATAAGTTAAGCTCAACTTTTAATATAAGAAGATAAACACTTTTTTTCTTCCCTAAAATGGGAACTTAACTCCCCTGGCACACTTCTAACAAGAGATGACAGTGGGTGAACTCTAAAAGAGCTACTGTTCTTTTTTGTTGAATCAAAATTTGCTTGTTCAGTAAAGTGAACTTGTTTGTTGAATCTGTTCATGAGTGAATAGCACATCTCTTACCTGCATTTGAAGGCTGCATTAAAAGAAACATACGGTAAAGCATGGTTAATACGTCTTTCGAAGGGCCATTCAAAAAAGTATATAAATGAGAAAGCTGCGTCATCCACATTTTAATTTGCTCAAAATGGGATTCCATGCATTGCCTTTAACCATGAAGTAAGTTAATTTGTAAATCAACAAATGTTTGGTGTAAATTTGAATGCTTTAAATGGATTTATTGGTTTAAAAATAAAATATTTGTTTCTAACATGTAAAAGGGCATTGTTTTCCCTAGACCATTTATGTATTTTTGCAAAATAACACCCAAAACTAATTCCAATGTGAGAAAATGTGACTATATTCCAAACTGGCTGAGATTCGTATTTGCGACATAGGTCTGTGGATTGTTCATTTTTTTGAATGGGCAGACTGACTCATGTATGGACATTATTTTATCTATATATCATAAAAAGACTAGTATGTATTATACTTGCAAGTCTCAGTGTTCAAATTAAGTCTGTCCAAGAAAAACACAATTGATGGGAAAAAAAGTTTATCATCTTATCACTAAGATAAACCTGAGCTGAAAAAGGAACATTGAGTAATGTACTTATAAATGTATAATTATGGTAATGTACAGCAAAATGAGTTTGATCATTACATAATTATAGTCACATATACATCACTTGTGTAAACGTTAAAATAACCTATACACAGTAAGTCAGAAACTCAAACATTTTGTCTCAAATATATGTCATTGCTTTTTATAGATCACTATTTATTACGAGAACACTGTGAACTTTACTAAAAAATTAAAAATGATCTATGCCTCCAACTCCAGCACACATGCACTGTTTAAGTTGTTAAGACTGTTTAAGAAAACTTCATAGCTCATATATAAGCCAGTCAGTAGCAGACATGTTAAATATCTGATGCATCATTCACTAGTCATTGAGTTAAATTCTAAATTTATAATTGCTGAAATGCTGTATTTTTATTGTTAATGTTTATTATTTACTGTTTACTGTTTTTATTTATTGTTAACTGTTACTTTTAACTGTTTTTGTTAACTGTTACTGTTTTTATTGTTAATGTTTATGCTGTATTTTTATTGTTAAATTCTAAATTTATAATTGCTGAAATGCTGTATTTTTAATTATTATTCTTTTCATTTATTCAGCAATATTTATTTCAAGTATTCAATTTATTTATTTCAGGTGAAATTTCTAAAGAAGTTCTTTGTGAAGTGATACAAAGCATTAAAGATCCTGGAAAGATGCTGGGACCTGATGTAAATTCTTTTTCTAAATTAAACTAACAAAGATTTGCCTGTTATCTCTTTAAAATAGGAAGTTCAGGGTCATTCTTTCATCAGCTGCTGCAGATGGTTGAGACCCAGCATTGCTTTTTTTTCATCTCATTTATTTTACTTCATGAAAAAGGCATAACTGAGAACTGACTTGAACTACAGTCTCAGATGAGGAGGAGAAAATAAGTGCTATGCGATAATTGCAACACCCATTGTGATCACAGATGGGAGAGTCTGGAAAGCATTGAAGTGCTTATTTTAAAATAAGACTTCAGTGTTATATAGTTACTCTAAAAATTGATTAAATAAACTTGAGAATTTAATAAAATATTCATTGTTACTATGTAGGAATTTATGAAACAATTGTGTATTAAAATTAATGTTGTTTTAAAATACATTGTTGTCATTTATATGAATATGTGTGCTTGTTTTTTGTATTTTGTTTTACAGTGTTATATACATATTTGTGTGTACTTTTGTTTATTTCTTTCAATCATCTTTCCCTAATTATTCATTCATTGTGTGTTTTGCATAATATGTAATCATTCCTATTCCAATGATCATCTGTGCCACCTAATGATCCACTTCACATTTTGACACTGAGTTCTACCTCCTTCATTATACTCTTAAGACCCTAATTTATGGAAGCCTGTTGTATAGAATGATTAGGATTATTGATGTTGTTAACAGCAGAAAATAATTTACGCTGTGATTTCTAACTATAAACCTATCATTATCTCATTTGATACAATACATTAACCTGAATCTATGTATTTAAGGAGCTGTAACAAACTGTGTGCAAAATTATTGCTTTGAGATACCTTGCAAAATGCATGTAATCATTCCTTTTCCACTGATCACTTGTGTCACCTAATGGTCTGCTTCACATTTTGAAATTGAGTTCTACCTCTTCCTTTATACTCTGTGACTCTTAATTTATGGAAACCTACTGTATAGCAAAATTAAGACCATTGAGGAAGTAATTAACCTTGGAAAATTACTTAAGCTCTGATTTATAATTATAAATCTGCATCACTATCTTATCTGGCACAATGCAGTAATCTGAATCTATGTATTTAATGTGGTCACTTATTGTATATGTAAATATGTATTTGGTACTTTAAAATTACTTGTAATTAGTTCTGAGTAAACATACATTGATATTATGAAGCTAATGTGAGAACTGTAGGCTGTTTTAAAAATTGTTGATGAGGAAATCTCATAAAATATGTATTTTTATCAAATCATCAATAATGATAATTAGAACTTAATAATATATGTATGAAAATATATTTTGGCACTTATCTTGAATTTTCAAAGTATGAAATTATTATTTTATACATCTTTAATAATTATTGCAAATCACAAATTGTGTTACATTATACTACTCTGTTGTGTAGTGTAAATTATAAAACAATTTATAGGTTAAGTTAAAAATATATTTACGAAAATTGGTAATTTTTGGCGGTACATGGACACCAAGTTTGTGCAATTCTTTGGCTTGTTATTTTAGCTTTGCATAGGACGATTTTTGCTTCAAAAATCGTTTCTACACAAGGCCAAAATAACAAGTCAAAGAATCGCACAAACTCTGTATCCATGTGTGCATCGACCTATTTTCACTTAAAACACAGAATTGCATAACCTCTGCATTTCGCACTGACTTGACTTTGTCCATGTACACATCGATCTATTTTCACTTCAAAATCAAAGGAGCATCCAATTCTACACTAGAGCCAAACAAAAAAATATATAATCTCAATAAGCTACATTTTAAATGAAATAACAAAACACTATGAACTATTATCGCATCAACGTTTTACACAAAGGAAATATCCACTTATCTTATTTAGAAATTTTTGTGTCTTCAGTCTTTGGCACACGAAATTCCTTAATAGCATCCAAAAAATTTCCTCAAACCATATTCCCTTTCTAATTGAATGCTTTATATGGTGACCATTTGAATCTTTCTTGCAACAAACCCATTCAAAGATGGCTTTGAAACTGATGAGATGGCTGAACGATCTTTATGTTTGATGCATTTCCTTCGTGCATACAGTACACTTATAATGGCTACTAAGTAAACCTTCATTTACACACCAGTCAATTAATGTGTTTTTTTTCCCTTTCGTTGCAAATCATACAGAAACTTCAACTTACCACATTCAGCCATTTTACCAAGTAAACCACAAAATAAGCAACACACTTCCTAACTAACATCCAACACACAAACAACCCCTTACAAATCTTTTCCCATCAGTCAAATTCACCTCAATCATGCAACCAATTATGTCATAATTGGGGTTTCCATAACATTCAACTATTCAGGTTACCATAAATGAAACAACAATAATCCAAGGGGGCACCCTTAAATATAAGCTTACCTATGTTAAGTAAGACAATTGATAATTATTTCAAATGTGCAGGTAATATTGTTTTATTGAAAAGAAGGGGGAGAAAACAAAGAATTGTCTTTTGTTTATTTTACAGATACATCATGAGTCATATAAATTTAGTGTGTTAAATTTTGTGATATTTATTTCTATTAAATATTAATTCAGGGATTGTTTTAACTTTCATTTTATTAGGCTTTTGCTGTAAGTACCCCTCGTGATGAAGGTGCACGTATAGCAGAGCGTAAAGGCAAAATTCACGTACATATTGTTGGAAATTCATTATCACAAGAAGTTAGTGACCAAAGCCTTATCTGGATGGTTGGATTAAGAAATCTTATTTCACGTAATCTTCCTGCAATGCCCAAACCCTACATAACAAGATTTGTTTTTGATCCGTAAGTGTGTTTTATGCGACTTTATATGGTTGGTGATATTCTGCATTTGCTATTTCATCCATTTTGTATAATTGTGCAGAAATAATCATAAAAATCTTAATTTTGTTTTGTGTATATTAGATACACAATTACAATATAATTTGTGTCTATTTTGTACAGTTCTATTATCAGGACTAGATTCAGGAATGTGCGTGTGTATGCATGTCTGTACATCTATGTATATAGGTATGCACTATAAACATTCGTACTTACATATATATATGCATACATGAACACATCCATCCATTTCTGGACCCGGTCCTGACAACTAAATAATACTGACATTTTTATACTTTGAGTTTATCTGAATTAATTTTATTAAGAAGCATTCTGTTTAATTTCTGGTTATATGTTTATTTTATCTCTGCAATATTTGAATCTTTCCTCATTATCTGCAGGTATGTTATATAAACAAGTAAAATTGAATCAATGTTTTTTAAGTGTTCGGAAACCTTTTTTTCTTTCTCAGTTGAATATTTTAAGATATATAAAAGAAGACCTCCTCCCTTCTAAAGGGTAGCTGGTTATTCTAGTGAAATATATCTAAATATTTCTGTTATTTTGCTATTCAAGTGTTCAAATGCCTTAATTTCTGCAGATGGATTTCTCTTAAAATACTTTTATTTTCTAGTAAGTTCAGAATATGGGTCTTTTTTACTCTTTTGAAAAGGGAAAATTTCATTAAATTGTATCTTTTTGTTTTTCTTCTCCCTTAGAAAATTACATTTAAAAAAAGTAATTTTTGTACTGTTTCATTTATTTCACAGAGCCAAATGTCACTTCAGTAAAAAGGTCTGCAGTTTGTAATAATTAATTCAAAAAGACTGCATGAAAATTATTGAGGTTAGAAAATGTAAAATTGGTAATATTATATAAATTTTGTCTAATGTTAAGTAGTTTTGCAGTATATTCTGTCAAAGCATATTTAGGTACTTTTCCATCATACCATACATTTTCAGTTCCATATTGACACATTTCTTTCTTCAGGCTTTTAGCTTGGACAAACAGAATGATCGGGAACAACAATAAAGAATACTCTCTAATTTCACAACTGAATCCTAGGAGATATGGCTGACATATTTTTTAATTTTGATAATGTTTGAATAAGGAATTGGTACATCCTCTTTTATATAATTATTGCAGTTCATTTGAATTCAGCTTTGGTTTGCTGCTTCATAGATATGAACTCCTGACACCATTAAGTAAATGAACCATACGGCAATAGCTAAAGAAGTACGTAATCTAACAAATCACGTATATGTTTGGACTCCTTTTTCATTCCAACAATGAGTAAATGCTGCACTGCCATTTCTTCTTTAAATCACATTTTAATTTCGTGAGGTGGTGGTTATTTTCTTACCACAATTTTTCCTTGAGAAGAACGTCTCTTTCTGTAAGAAATAGGATAACCACTTCATCTATTGAAAAATTTCAGTCCATATAGATGAAAAACAGGGCTGCATAAGTGCTGTGGTTATACAGACAATTAATTAGCACCATCAAAAAAGGAAATTTAAAACTTGCAATGCAATGCCTGCTGATTGAAAAAACACAGCAAAAGTCCCAAATAGTATTGCTTTAACAGAAAAACGGCTTTTTTTTTTTTTTTTTTTTTAAATAAATATAAACCTTTTTTTTTCCTTTTTTCTCTAGGAAACATAAAAATCTGGTGATTGTTGAGGATACCACTGTAACTGGGGGCATTTGTTTCCGCATGTTTCCTAGTCAAGGTTTCACTGAAATAGTATTTTGTGCAGTTTCCCTAGACAAGCAAGTTCAAGTAAAATTTTGATTTACTGTCACTGTATTATATTAACAATATTTTATTTATTATTAGTGATTTTTTTTTAAGTAGCTTGACATTTTTATAGGGGTATGGAACACACATGATGAATCACCTGAAAGATTACCATATAAAGCAAAATATTCTGCACTTTTTAACCTATGGTGATAAATTTGCAATAGGTTATTTTAAAAAACAGGTCAGTAAGTGTTGCACATAGTATATTACCCTTTATTATTTTTATTATCAGTTCATGAATCTTTATAATGTTTCAATAATTAGTATTAAAATTTTTCAAGAATTAAAAAAAAATTATTAACATAAAATGCATTATTTATAATGCCTGGAATTCCTTCCTCCAATTTTAGGTAATGCAGTTTTCTTAACCGTTTTATTTCACAGAATAGTAATGAATAATTGCTAATGAATCCCTACAAAAATTAGTTTGCTCAAATTCCTATTTAGTTATTTATGATGCTGTAGTTAAATAGCCTTTAATTTAAACGTCGGAAGGTCGAAAGACAACTTGTATATATGATGCATAGATATTGGAGGTGCAATCAGTTGTTTATGGGGTTCATTTTAGTATAAATAAATTACATGCATTAAATTAATATAAATAGCTCAGCATTTACAGTGTATTGGTTTTACTGTCGCAATTTGAAATATTTAAAAGAAAGGAGGGTAAAAAAGAAGAAACCAGATGTTTAGCTTTCCTCATAAATAGTGATTTAGGAAAATATTGTATTTTTTAAGTCTGAAACTAAGTTTGGTTTTTAGTTTTAAGTTGAATGAAATGTAAATTATCTTTTTGCAATTAGTAGTTTATTATTTAATTTTAATAAGCAAAATCTAACTAACATATGAATCATTATGTAATGCTATATTAAAAGAAACTTTTCTATCTTGTGCCCAATATGCTTTTCCATTTGCTTTCAAATTGAGACTTTAATTAAAAAAATTTCAAATTCAGTAATAATTCTTGCCTATAGAATGCATGCATATAGTATTAGCCATTTAGTTTTTTAAATATTGCATCATTTTATTATTCCACATTCTAAAAACATTTTTAATAATGTTCTATGAAACTCTAAATGTTATCAAAAATTAAATTAGTTCCTAAACTTAATATCTGATCATAATGAAACAATTTTAATTAATCATTCTACAATGTGTGTGTATAAATATATCTGTACATTAGTGTGCAAAACTTAAACAACAAATTCATTTTTCAACATGCAACCATGAAATTGTTAAGGACATTTTGTGATCAGTGCGGTGAAAAGCCAACTGTGTAGAAAAGTGATGCTTATGCAGATATGAGCACCATGATATCAAAGGGTACACTAGAGCTGGCAAAACTTGAGTCAGCGAATGCAGTACAAGAGAACTTAAAAAAGGAAGGGACATTTCCAGGTATTCTTCTGTAAGTGAAAGTGAGATTGTACATGCAGTATCGCTACTAGAAAATATCAGTATGCTTTTACACATGATAGAATGATTAGCAAGATTTTAGGAGGTGCGTAGTGTGATCTCTGTCACGCAAGAGTGATAACTTCATTTCTATTTTCCTGTGTCTTGAATCTTGCCTGTTTCTATTGTTGTCCTCTGCTACACCATAGCCCTCAAATCATACATTGCTGCCAGAACTGCTGTCTGAGTAGTCTGCTACAGTTTACAAGTTGTTACTGTTCAGTCACCCTTTCATATGCAGTGATCTTTGCAACTATCAATGGCATTAGATATACATGTTTTCTTGAAGCTTTTCATTATTATTGCTTCATCAGTCAAGCCCAATGCTCCCAAAACCTATAAGAAGATCAATTTAGTAAGATATGTAGAAGAATCCATTTTAAAATTTAGTGAACCCCACCTTCTAAATACTTTGATAGAAGGTAAAATTATGTGAGTACTTAAAAATTTTCAGAACTGTATGCTAAAAAAGTTAAGTGAAAAAATATGTGAAAAGATACAGTATATGCAAAATTTATTTCTATTTGTGCAGTTGTACATTGATTTGTTTAAATTTTTTTATCTAGGGTTTTACTATGGACATCAAGTTACCTAAAAAAGTTTATGAGGGCTACATAAAGGATTATGAAGGTGCTACATTAATGGAATGTAGACTTAATCCAAAAGTGCAATATACTAAACTATCTGAAGTAATTCGAGTTCAGAAAGAGGTACACAATTTCTGATAATATTCTTATGTCCATTTTGTGTAATTTCTTGCTTTTAATATTCTATCTGTAATTTAGTTTTCTTAAAATCTCATATTTTTATCAAAGTTCTTCATTCCGTGATACAAGGTAAGGCATAAAGGAGAGGCATTTTTGTAAAAAAATCACAAGATCGTGAATTTTTTTAAAAAAAGAAATTTATTGATGTCCTAAGCTTGTATTTAAATGGCATTTAACAAAACTGGGTGTGGAAAACAACTTGTATACATATGCATTCTTCACAAGAAATAATCACAGAAGTGTCAAGTGGCTAGTGTCAAAGAAGGCCATTGAATGCCACCAAACCTGGAAATGAAGAGAATAACATGCATTGATACTCTAGTTGTGTGAGCTGTTGAATCTTCTGCTTGAAACCACTCACATGGATGGGAATATGTTTCAGTCATAATTCAGGTGTTTATTGGCAAGTTCAATAATTATTAAATAGCTTATCTTGAATTTTCATAGACTTGTAGTTACCTGGAAAATTGAATTTTACACAGTAAAAGGACTCAAAGCATTGAATAAGATTTTGACTTTATCAGCTATCACAATTGTTTACATGTTTTCATTCTTTTTTAGCATCAAATTCTAGTTGTTTGGTTTTATTTTATCTGTTGCCACAAACACGGCAGAATTAAAAAAGACATTACAAATCAAACATCTGGTGCAAGGGCAGTGCCATCTATAGAAAAGAATAAAAAGAAAAAGATAAAATAGAAAAGGATAAAATATTTGTCAATTTGTTTTAATGTTTGAATAGCCAGATATGAAGCACAAGAAGTGTCATACGTAACTGTCAGAAGTTGGAATTCTTTAAGTGGTTCTTCAGAGTTTTCTCTCCAAAAGATTATCTGGAAATCAACATCAATTTTATTGACTAGGAGTTCGTCGGAACATTTTTTCTATATCTCCAGTGAGTGCGATACAATGAGTTCTAAATTTCAATAGTATGTCAAACAATTCATTTTGAAGTTTTGGACCAGTATGGAGAATATCATTTAAAAAAACTCCTGAATCAGACTTTGCAGAACCGTTGATTACAACCCGTAGTTTGGTAGTTTCACTTTAATCTCTAGTAACTTCAAAATGAGGTAAATAGAAAAATTCTGACTATGTTTTGAAAAATTGACATTTTGAACAATCTGCATATGATTCATAGTTTGATATTCTCGCATGAAATGTATGTATTGAGTTTTAATCTCTGGATTATGTTGAATTTTTCTTTCCAAGGAAAAAAAATGCTTCTTAGCTTGATTTCTTGAATCACCCAACAGAGCTATATTCTTAATTGGGAGACTGGCAACAAATCTATCATCAGAATTTCAACTAGTGTGATTTAAATAAAATGCCTTAACATCTTGCTCTTCATCATTCAGTGTACTCACTTCTCAGAATTTTTTCATTAAATGTTCAATGTCTACTAAAACATGACAATTGATTAAAGAATTCTGAATTCTATTTGAAACAAACACCCTTCCTGAAATGAGCCAATCCAATTGTAAATTTAGAGCAGATGGTTGGTTTTGATTTCCTACTATCTTCCCAGTTTCAACTAAGTCTAAGCATATATCTGCACTCAGAATGATATCAGTCTGTCTACTTAAGTGAAAAGAAGGGTCACTAATTGTAATCCTTTCAGATGAGGCCAACTAAATTCTGACAGATCAAAGTTTGGTAGATTCGACGTCAACTTTTTGACTACTAAAGCCTTAACAGAAAAGTTCTTATTATCAAAATATGGGGAGTAAAATTTAAATTAGATACTTTCATAACACGGGCAGCAACTGTATCATCAAGTCCTAGGATAGTGTATTCAAACTTTTGAAATGAAAGTTTTAGTCGATTGCAACATGATTCAGTGATTAAAGATGTTTGAGACCCATTATCAATTAGAGCACAGTATCTGAGAAACTATCCTTGATTATTTTTTACTCTTATCACAGCTGTGGCAAGTAAAATTAAATTAGAATTTTTTACGTTCCCTGTGAAGCAAAGCTTCTGGTCTTCTGAGGTACTAGCTGAAGGTTGATATAAAGGCTGATTTTGAGATAAACTTTTTGGGGTAGACTGTACTTGACTTTCAGCTGAATGTTTTTATCAGTTCAAAAAATATTAAGAATTGTGTGATGTTTCTGTTTACATGCCCTGCAAGATGTAGTGAATCGGCATGATTTGGTCTCGGACAGTTAAATCAATGGTTTGCTTTTCGTATGAAGTTCCAATACTCATGAATATTCATTTTAAGAAATTTCTCGCACTTATATAAAAAATGTGGTAATTGGCAAAGTGCGCAAGAATCCTGCCTTAACTTTACACTTGTTTTAAAAGCAAAAGTTTTGTTAATGAATTTTACTGATTTGTCTTGAATATTATAATTTCCCTTTACACTCTGAAGACTTCTAGCTTGTTTTTTCAAAAACGAAAGAAAATTTTTTAAAGATGGAAAATATTTTATTCTCTAGCGTTAATTCCCACTTGATTTTAAGTGAATCTTCTAGCTTATCTTGTTATGCAGATATCAGAAGAATTTTGCCTAACTGCATTATAGACCAAGTGTTGTAAAATTTAGAATAACTTCATTGCAGGTATCTATCATTGTTCGAATGGATTCAGATATTGGTTTTACAAATTTTAAATTAAATAATTTTCTACGCTGAGAAAATTCTAATTCCCCTTTGGTTATCATATCTATCGAGTAAAGTATCCCAAGCATTTTTATAATTTTCAGAGGTTATTGCGAATCCCCTAGTAAGTCTTGCAGCATCAGACGAAACTACACTTTGAAGATATTGCAATTTTTGAATGTCAGTTAAAGATGCATTAGAATCAATAGAACTTAAAACTATGGATTTAAAACTTAACCAGGATTCAAACTGGCCAGAATACGTTGGAAGTTGGTTGTCTAATGCTTTCCACATTTTCAGGGATATATACTGATTATGTAGTCTCCTATGGGTTTTTGCTCATTAGTGAATCTTGTGTACAAATTGCTGAAATCCAATGTGGGATAGTATTAAGAGCAGGAACAATTAGATTTCGGTGGATATTGTAATATCGGTGAAACTCGTGCTGAGCTGCCGTGATAGAGTTGTTACTTTTGATGTTATATACAAAAACTGTCTTATACAAAAACTTGATGTTTTATTGGCTTTGACTGAAAAGAAAAATGCTAAGACTTCACAAATCTAACATGCACCTCTCACTTCACCAGATGGTGAGTTCCAGCCATTTCAAAAATGCCTATCCTTTCTACCTCTACCTGTAGTTTAGTTCCTGTGTTTTTTATTAGTCTCACTTACTGAAACTTAAAAATTATGAAAACAATTTTTTGCAAAATTTTTTGGCTGAAATATCTGTATGCCATATATTAGCAATGGTATATGTGGCAATATGCATGCTATATGTGGTAATTTTCAGTATACTTATTTGAATAGATTTATTACTAAAAATTATGTTGATATAGTTTGAATTTTAAGTGATTTAAATTATGACAAGAGAATTAAAGTTTTTGATAAATTTTAAATAAAAAAAAAAAAAAAAAACCTCTGCAATGAAAATGGTGTAAATTTTTATCTGTTTTATGTATATATTTATGTTTGTTCCTTTGGATGTGCAATCATTACTTATTATTATTGGATCATAAAATGTTCTCACTTTCATTTTTGTTATAATTGGAAGTAATAGATTCCAGTCCGAAGCTGGAAAATAAGAAATTTTTAATGAAGGAGTAAGTCAACTTCTGATTAAGCAGGTCTAAGTAGAAAAGGGTAGAACACCAGAATTTAACCATTGGCTTTACAAGTACAGTCCCACTGCACTAACTGCACGACTGTGCTTCAGTTTCAATCGAAAACATCCTGGGGGTATGGATATGACAATCTCCCACTCCTTTTTCCTTACTACCAAACTACTCGAGGACTTTACTCATCATTATTTTAAGTACCCCTAAGCTATGCACTAGACACTTACATACATGTATGCCTTCTGTGGGATTCTAACCCAGGCTCAACAACATGGCAGGCGGTATCACTAACTGTACTGATCAGAATGGCAGAATTAACCATGTATTATGTCCACCCTTAACATAAAATCAAATTTAATCTAAAGACAGTTAATATAACACAGGAAAAAGGAAAATTGCATTTAATAAAATTAAGATAATGACACCTAACGGTTTACTTGTATTTTTAAACAGTTTAATCTGAAGAATAAAGTCATTTGGTTATGCAAATTATGATTTATGGTAGTTAAGTTTTTCAGATAGGACCGACCTTAATCTGCAACCTGATTGATTTATTCGAGATAACTTCATATGTAATTACACTGATAGTAGCATTTGTCTTTTAATTTATAATCCATGATATGTTGTTAATGTTAAACCTATTGAGCTTTGAAAAACAACTAAATTTCATATTTAATAAGTTTAAAATGTACAGGAAAGAAGTGATTTATATTTAACTTTAGTTATTTTATGTGAAGGAATGTATTCTCATCCGAGCTCTAGTTCGGGGAACTGTCTTGTTTTAATTTGTTGTAAGAAATTGATGCTTAGTGCTGTAAATAAAGTTAGCACTTTATTTCTTGAGAAAAAAATATGCAGCAAAAGATTTTTTACAGTGTATTTTCTCTCAGGTTAACAGATTAAGATTTGAAACTTTCAGTAATGGACTCAATAAATAGTAAATGAGAAAGTTGATAGTCATGCAGAGCTTTTATATTGGCTTATACTTTAAAGCAGTGTGACTAATGTGTCTGCATGAATTATTGAAATTAGCAACATGTATAAAATATTGATGTTTAAAACAGCATTTTTTTTTCTTTTTTTAACTGCTATTATTTTTATTGTAAGGAAATAAAAATGTTTTTATAAAAAAATTATTTTTATTGTAAGAAAATAAAAATGTTTTTATAGAAAAATTATTTTTATTGTAAGAAAATAAAAATGTTTTTATAGAAAAATTGTTTATATTTCAACTTCCATTCAGGTCTGAATAATAGTCGTAGTGTAAGGTGGATGAATTCTCGGCATTAGAGAAGTAAAAATTTGTGGTTAGAGTTACTTAAAAAATGCATAGAATTAGTTTATTTTCTATACTGTACAGAAAATCTCATTCTTTCTCATTTTGTTATTAACTGTAAATTTTATACAAATTAATCAGTTTGATTAGATTAAATCCAATAAAGTGTTCAGAAATACTTTTGAATTATTTATTTTTCTAAATGTCACTCTGTATTTATGACCTTTTTTTCTCACTGTTTGAACAGATTGTTAGAAGATTGATAGAGAGAAACCAAGGCTCAGTGCCGAAAGTTTATCCAGGTTTAACATGTTTTGATGAAGGAGTTGGCGGAATACTTGTTAAAAGTATTCCTGGTGTCTGTAAGCTACATTTTTCATTTTTTAAATTGGTACTTAATATGTTATCCCATCAACTGTCAAAGTTAGCTACCAAAGAACTTTCTGCCAGAGTTGCGCTATTTGTTCCCTTGGAGTTCTGAGGGCACTGTTGCCTCTACTTAATAAACAATCAGTATTATAAAACCCACTTTGTTTTTGCACTTCATAAAAAGCTTTTGTTGATTTCTACTATTTTATTAGGCCTTTTTGATTTTATCTTACCGATAACTCTGTTTAGAGCTCTAGTACAAACTTCTGACAGGTTATTGTTTCATTCTCTTGCTGTTTTGTTGACCAGGTGCAGCTGACTATATTGTGTTATATATGAACAGTTATTCAGGATAGGATAACATAAATAGTCCATTGCTTGTTATTCTGTAAAAGGCAATTCCCAAATTTTAATTGTTTTTCAGAGTGCAAGGAAAAAACTATTGCAATAATAACTATCCTTGTTTGCAAAAGCAAAACAGGGTTTATTCAAAAGCAATCAGGGTTTCAGCAACGAAAGCAAAGAAATGAGTCTGATGTCATGCTTATCCATAGCTGACACTAAATTGCTCTGCTTGGCAACAGTTTCATGGTTGACAGGATAACTTTTTTTAAAATTTTATTTCAGATAATATCCTGTGCCTAAAGAAATTATTTATAACAACATAAATGTTCCCTATTCTCTTTTTCACATTCTTAAACAACTGTTGCTTTCAGTCTTTCAAAAACCTTTTTGGTGTTTACTGAACTTAAGGACCCTTCAAAAACCAATTTAGTATTTACTGAACTTGGGAGACCTTTTCACTTTTCAAAAAACTTTTTTTTTGTGTGTGTGTGCTACATTTTTCAAATTTATAGTAATAATTGTTATCATATTATACTTTAAAACTACTTATAAACAGAATATGAAAAAGTATTGTTAAACGTATTTAGAATTTTTTGTGTTTATTAGATTAAAAACAACTGCCATGCCTAGGAATAAACAAGCAAACCTGATTCCTATCTTAAATAATTACAAAATAGCTAAATGTTAATTTATGTATAGTTTTATCAAAAATATACTAAACACGTGCAAAAGAATGAAATCTTTACCTTAATTACAGAAAAAAGCCATAATTTTTAAAATATAAATGTCAACAAAAAATTAACTTTAAAGGAAAAATAAATTTGAAGCTTTCATTTGTAAAATTAGACAGTTTAACTGTAGTTCTGTCAAATACTAGTAAAATATGTCATGCATCACATACTAACTTCAAAATACAAGTTCCTGTAATGCTTTAAAAAACTGAATTGTGAAAAACGCCAAATAAATAAAAACATAGATTGCACTTTTTGTTTGCATAGAATTCTACTTATTGATCCTATACACTAAATTGTTAGAAACACTGACACATAGAAGCTTATGCAAAATACATAGCAACATCATCTAGACATGTATTCTATTGCGCATGCACCAGTATGTGTAAAGCAATAGACATCCTGCGAACTATCAAAACTGTTTATGATGCAAGAAGTAACAAAGTGATTTTTCAAAGCTGTATTATAGGTGCCACTTGTGAGATAAGTCATAGTATTTCAGAGGTAGCAATGAAGTTTGAATTTTCACAAATGACCGCTGCAAGAGTGTACCATGAGAACAAGAATCCTGATCAAGCCTCTAACTAATAGCACCAGTGTGAATATAGAAACACATCATGTTAGTGTCATCATTGTCTGCTGTTGAAAAGTGTTTCTTGTCATTGGTGTGCAACACTCTGGCAAGTAACATTAGAATTCAATGCTGGAGCCTGAATAAGTATCACATTCCAAACTATGCAATGTGCCCTGTTGGATTAGGGGCTTTTTAAGAGCCAGTGGCCAGTTTGAATCTCCTTGATGACTGCACAACACAGAGTTATTTGTCATGTTTGGTTACAGCAACACAGAAACTGGGCACTTGATGACTGTGAGCAAGTAGCATGGTCAGACTTGTTGCATTCCCAGCTGTAAGGCAAATGGAAGGATTTGTGTAGTATGAACCAAATGGTGCTACAGATTCCGCCATTCAATGGGAACTGTATTAGCTAGTAAGATATCTATAATGACAATAGGATTGTTTAGTTGGAACACATTGGAATCTACAAACATATGTAACTATGTGTAACTGGTCAATAGTATGCATGCATTTTTTATGAGGTATACCTGTTTATCCCCTGCCTTCATGTTGATGCATCGCCCTGTTCCAAAAAAGCAGTGGATCTCCAGACAAGAGTTAAGGGATGTCACATTATACAGAGGGAGTTCACACATTTTTGTAATTATTTTGACTTTTCCCATGAATTTAAATATTAATTTTAAAATACAAACTTGACTAGCATCAAATTGGAATAAGGTTTAATTATCGTCTGCAGCATTAAAAATATTCTTTTCTTTAAAATTTCGCTGAAAAATAAACAATAGATGGAAGGCTATATTCTTGCACTGTCCAAAAAGAAATACTCATATTCGATTATTAAAAAAAAGATGTAAAAAGCATGATTTTAATATTGTGACATGTAAAATAAGTGACATAATTAATATGAAAGGAAAGACAAAAAATTAATGAAATATTAATATGAATTTGTATTCATATTAATATTTCATTTATATGAAAATTTCTATTTCATATTAATATGAAAAAGACAAAAAATGCATACACAACAAAGGTGCGTACAGTTCTTTTTAAATCTTAAAAAAAGCTTGTAAATTAAGTCGCATCTCATATTTAAAGAAGAAATCGAGGCTCCCAAAGAGCTGTAGCAAAATCTTTAAATATCTCTGTAGGAAAAACTGAACAAAATTATGAACCTGATTTACACCTAATCCTCCCCCCCCCAAAAAAAAAAAATTTGCTGTTCATCGCCTTATGCCAAAACAATTTTTTTCTCAGCATAAGACTATGTGTAGATTGCTGTATGAAAATTATTCAGAAGGTGAAAAAATGCAAATATATAGGTACAATTTATGAGGCTTGGATATACGTATCTGAGTGCAATAGAAAAAGATTGATTTACTACCAAAAAAGACTTAATATTTTGGTTCAAAGAAAACAAGGAAAGTTTTTCTAAAGGTTTTATGGTTATTACTGGATTCTGTTGTAATGGAAAACTAAAAATAAGAAAATTAGAACAAAATTCCAAAATTAATTTGGATTACTGTCAGAAATCTGTTTCAACACCTATTTTTTTAAAAAGGAAGCCCATCTCTTTATCCTAATAATCTTCACTGTGTTAAGTTCTATCGGAGTAAGGTTCCAAGCCATGCCTCTGAATCTACTGCTCTGTTTTTTGAAAAAATGATAAATGAATCTGGAATTGAAGCTATTCCTTTTAAATGCATCCCACCAAAGTTTCCTGATGTGTCTCCTATGGATTACTATGTATTTGCACTTTTAAAACAAGCTTTTTATAAGCGGCATCCTAAAACATTGGATGGACTGTGGAAGATTGTAAGGGAGGGGTGGAATTAAATCAACCCTGATGTTTTAAGAAAAAGACTTTTATCTTGGAAATTAAGATGAAATATAGTTCAACAAAAGGGCTATCAGATTGAACATATTAGAGAATAATATTCTAAAGATTTCTTTATGTGTAAATCTTTGCAAAAGTGTTACAAAAATGTATGAACACCCTCTGTAATTAAGACCCTGTGTAGTTACATGAGCATTCATCTAAGTTTAGAGTTTTGCTATTTCCTCCCAAATCCCCTTATCTGAGTATGATAGAACACATTTGAAACTGGAATGTCCTGCAGTGTATTACCGAATAGAGAAATTCTAAGTTGGCAAATGTACCCAAATTATGGAGTGCTCTGCTGCAAGTATTGCCGACAGCATATTTCTAGAAGCTTATTTCATGCCTCATCATATTTCAGCAGTCCATAATGGATCTATCAAGTATTAGACTGGTGTACCACTTTTTCTGACACTTGAGTGTATATTTGTAGTATGTTTTAACAGTGAATTTCAAATAAAATTATTATTATTTCAAATAAAAAAATTTTTAATTTTTTAAGTGTGAAAAAACATGCTAATCATCATGCAAAAATTTTGAAATCTCTCTGTTAATTACATAAAAAGCCATAACATTTTTTATATGTTGATTTCAACAAAAATTGAAAGTGAAACTCTGTGATTTTCCATATATATTTAAAAAAACTATAGTTAAAATTTAAGACAATTAAAAAAATGAAGAAATTGTGACTGTATTTTTGGTATTCTGTGTCTTTAAAAATTTAATATTCAAGCTCATTAAATTTTAAAATCTTCTAATTAAGTGATATAATTTTTTTAAATCTTTCCAAGCAAGGTCTAAAAATTTTAAAAAGAGCTTTTATTAATTAATATTGTTAGGTTTGATGTGTTTATATCAAATGAGTTTTTTGTTTTCATTTCAATAAATAGATTTACTTGAAGAAAACGTCAAACAATAATACTCCTGAAATACCATCAAATGCACTCCTAAAAACAAAGCATTAAATCAGTATTTCTTAAAGTAGACAGTACACGGGAACCTAAGTTTTTAAAACAGCAGCCAAACTGATAGTAATTTTATTATAATATTATTTGATATAATTTATCAAAGAATTTGGACCTATTACATGCATAATTAACTTCATGTTTTGCATTTTATTTGTCAAATAATGTCATTCCTGACTATATATTGTGAAATGAAGTTTTAATGTTACTGTGATTTTTTTTTTACCCCTACCCCCCAAAAAATATTCAAATTGTTAAATATGATTGAGTCTCTAATTCTAATATTGGTGAGCTGTTAAGATTTCATACATCTTATTCATCCCATAGATTAAATATTAAAATTATTATTATTTTTATATTTTTGTGTTATATGCAAATAGAACTGACTTCCACCCCCTGCTTAAGTTAGAAAATAAAAGGAAGGGGGGAAATATATGCTCTAACCTGCAATATATAACATGATAGTATAACCAACTTGTAACTGAATGTGTTTTGCAAATCCTGTATTGTTGGACAAGAAATAATGCTGATAAAATGTATAAATGAAAAACTAGAACAAAAGAACTAAAAGAAAAAAAATGGAATTTGAAATTACTATCCTGTCGTGGTCTCATTATCAAGCAAGCAATGCAAAAAAGCAAGTATCTAAATTTGAGATACGTTTCTGAATAATACAATGAAACCATTGTTAATTAGAAATACTTTTACAATTAAAGGAACTATTAAATAATTTTTAAAGGTATCCTTGCACAATCTTTCCCAAATGTTAAAGGAATAAATTAGGAACCTGTCTAAAGCACCATATTTCTGTTATGCATTATTGTTGTTTCATATTTCTTCGAAATCTGAATCACTTGTTATAAATTATATTTTTTTATTGTAAAGTATTTTTTTGAAATATATGCCTTGACAATGTACGCTAGTTGTGACACTCTTTTTGTATGCAGATTAGTTGTGACTTAAATTAAGTGATATAAATTCTTAAATTTAAAAAAAAAAAAAAATGAAAACTAGTTTGAGACTTGAAAAAGCTATTAATCATTTAATTCAATCATTTAATTCTTGAAAATCATTTAATTCAACTGAGTGCTTTTTAAGCTTGGAGGAGAATGCAATAGATAATGTTAATTGGGATAATGTTAAATAGAGTATTATTATAACTGCATATATTTATTTAACATTTTATTTTAATGTCAGTTTCTCAGAAACTTGTCTATTTTTAATGTATATAATTAATCATGTTTTTATTTGCAGCAGAGGCAAATTCTATGCCAGATAAAAAGATGTGAGTAAATAATTTTTTCAAATTTCTGATTAGTTGAAATTAAATTTGGAAATTTAAATATTTTTTTCTCATTTTCATTTAACCATTTTCGTTTGAAGGCAAAATTTTCTTCCTTCTGCTTGAACCTCATTTGCAGTACATGAGATAAAATATAAATCTCTGCTACTGGATATTTTAATTAAAAAATGTGTACAAGAAAATTTAACAACAGTGTGTTAATTGTCTTAAAAATTTTGAAATTTTGTATTTTTCTGTATCATATGTTATATGATAACATATGTCATGTTATATGTTACTTTATTATATGACATATGATAATATGTTATATGTCACTAACATACACGTATACATATATACAGGGTATCTAAAAAATTTAGCGAAGGGCACATCACAAGGATTGAGAATTCCATAGCAATCCATGACTGGAAACTTCATCGTATATGTCCTAGGTGGTGCTGTGCATGAGAGCACTGTAGGGGAATTCAAGATTTCTTGATTCAAATGGTAACCAGCATAAAAAAAGTATACAACGACTTATGAACGGTGAGTTTGCAGACAAGCCCTTAGTGTATAGCTGAGGGCAGTGGATAAGCCACTAAACAAATTTATCAAGAATGCTTTGCTGACAGACAACAATTGCACCACAGTGTGTTTGCACGTGTGCATCGGAATTTGTGCAAGTATGAGCCATTAAAGTAGTAAATAGCAGGACTCTTGAGGGCAGATCATGATCGATGCATTCGGTCATTATGGCAAAAAAGTGTTTTGTGTGTTGTATGCTGTGGTTGCCTTAAGAGCGTCTCTTTGCAGTCTACAGCATGTTTTAAACTCATGTTTTAAACAGCATGTTTTAGTCCTTACATACTGTTGCATGCGTACGGGTTCGTTTGAATTGAATGCACAAGTCCAATGAAAAATGAACAAAATTTATTATTATCACAACAAAAATGCTTAATTTTCCTCAGATATTCTTGCAGTATTATCTCACAGTAGTTATCTTTTAACTACTCAATCATTCAAAAGAACTCGATTCAAAACAGCTAGAGAAAGCTAATCCGCGAATTCGCTACAGTCAGCAAGAGCAGTTTTCTAAACAAACTCTTAAAACGGCAAACTAACTAACTACTGAATTGAGAGGTTTTCCTCCTTTTTATAAGATTTTAAATCGCGTGCGAGAATTTTCTCGGAAATCAAAAAGAGATATATATTTATTTGTTAAATGTACGTGCTCTTGTATTTTTAATTTTCCGGCTTGGCTTTCATTTAAATTTGTCATGTGCTGCACTGCATGGGGAATAAAACAATTTAATTTATAATTCAACTATTTTAAATACCAAATCCGTAACACTGCCCCCTTCCCAAGGACTGGACATCCCGGGCAGTACAACTCCTGACAGGAAGCCAGACTTACAACTAAAACGTAAATGCAATAACTAACTTAAACAAATCAAATGCCATAAAATACTAAAGACAAATCAAATACACATTTAGAAACAAAAAGGACCATGGTCTTATACTATTTTACAATAACGTACTATGGCCATAGTAATGAGCTAACCTAACCTGTCTTAAAAACCGACTTTAGGTTCAGAGTTCGAAGACTTACTGATCCGAACCACGAGGTTATTGTGTACAGATCATCCCAAGGTGACTGTAATTTCGGACAGAGTCCTGTTCTTCGAACTGAATTCCACAACCAGATCTTGTCTGCTTTGAATCTGTGTCCAGTAGCTCTCTTGTCGTATCTGGTCTTCACTTTCTCTGTCGCCAAGTTGACTCGCTTTCGTGTGGAACGGGGCATCTCTTCAAACCGGGCCTGGACATCTTGTATGTATTCCTCAGGCGATGAAGGCGCAACCGTAGAGCGACCAAACAGGTGGTCGCAAGGCAGACGAAGGTCTCGACCAAAGAGCATCTGGGATGGCGAATAGCTGGTAGTCTTGCGTTTCTTTTCGGCCCTAGCATGATTTCGGCAGCTTCCTGAGCTGGGTCTTTCGGACAAGGCGTCGGCATTTCCAGGTGAAGGATCCCTTCTGAGGATGGATAGTCATGTCCTCAGATGCTGAAAGCAGTTTGTTGTTTTTGAAGTCTAAGGAAAAATTGTATTTCCTTAAAAAGTCTAATCCGAGTATGCATGGATCTGTAATACCCGAAATTGGTATGTTATTTCAGAAAAAGTCCAATTTTATGTCAAAATACCCATGTTAGAACAGTGCTATATGTAAATCTAATATATATCCTAAGTCGCACTTTTGAGACATGTAAAGCGAAAATAACATTTTGACAATTGGTCCAATAGAACTGGAGATATAGAACTGTCTCCCCCCCCCCTTTTTTTTTTTTTTTTTTTTTTTTTGTGCAAGGTGCATGCTGAGCAAATGTGTTAAATGTTGCTATTGTTTAGCAATGCATGCATGCTGAGCAAACATCAAATTTTTATTCTCGAATTTAACAGTATAATTCTAATTTGTTATATTCTTAGACGTAATATATGTTTGATATACCTATATATTTTATAACTTTAGTTAGTGATTTACTTTTTTCTTTCACTTCAATTCAAAAATACCTTATTTGACGGCATATAAAACGCACTATTTTCCTAAATTTGGTCTCAAAAACGTTACCTGCGTCTTATACTTGAAGGTAATTGCATTCAATAATTGTTTATTTGGGTTTTACGAAACATGAGAACTAAAAGAAACCACGCTATTGAAACTTTTTTTCCTTGTGTGTGGCCGTCTAACTAAGGGTGCGTCTTGTATGCCGTCAAATACGGTAATAATTTTGCTCTTTAGAAAATGTCTAATTATGTCTTTGTGCTGTTTTCTGCAGAAATAAGTAAAACCTTATCTTCAGATATACAAATTCCTTCATTTATTCAGTTACTTTTGGCAAATTATTCATTACATGGAATAAGCTGCAAGAAGATTATTATCCTCAAACTCTTTCATCATTTCTAATGCCTCTGTTTACATCAAGTTTTATGCTGTAGTTTTTTGAAAGATCACTTTACCATTTATAGATACAATAAAGAGCATCAAAGGTGGAAAAAAATACAACGATCAGTTCTTCTGTACCAGATTTAAAAGGTAAACATAGAGCAAAAAAAAGGGGGGGCATTTAAATCTTTTTTAAACTTGAAAAATTTGCAGCATCAAGCTTGTTTCTAAATTGACATAATTAGCAAAATTTGAGTTTTCTAATTAGATCCTTAACTAAATTCAATAGTCCAGAAATAAGATTTTTTAAAGAGAAGTCTATATTGTATTTTCATGTTATATGCTGTCCTCTCTTTTGCTCTCTTTAGACAATCTGTATACATGTATAATGCATCTCCGTCATTTTATTTTACAGTAAAAGAGAAAGCAATGATCCTGAACTCCTCTTTCAGAAGTTGAAATTAATATTAACTCAGATTAAAGTAAGCTGTGTATCTTTTTATACAGATATTATTAAAAGTGAAGAATTAAGTAGCTTATTTCTTAATTTTATGATTTAAGATTTGTGTAATTGAGGCTTGTATTTGCCTATATTTATTTATCATATTGTTATGAATTTTGTACATATATAAGTAATTTTAGTAAAATTATATGTGTATGTTTTTTTCTTTTCATTTTTTCTTCTTTATGTATATATAGTTATGAATTTTGTACATATATAAATAATTTTAGTGAAATTATATGTGCATGTTTTCTTTTCTTTATATATATATAACTTTAAATAGTGTAGTATGAAAATCTAAAGAGGTGATGCTTTGCCAGAAAAGTAAAAGTACAGAGACAAATCTGTTTAACATTGAGTAAATGGCTATCTCGCTAGTTTGGCAATTAATTTTTGTTACCATATTTGGCGAAAAATTCGGTTCCTGTATTACTGTAATGGGTATTATAATTGAATAACTGTAATTTATTCTATAAATAGCTGTAACCATATCCGGCCCTCATATGCCTTCCAGTAATTTCGAGAAATGCTAGAGATTTCTGGATGGCTGGTTGAAAACTATATAAGAGCAAAGAGAGCATCTGCTCTCACTTGTTAGTTCTGAGAGGAATTCGGAATAGTGAGATATCCATCTTAGCTAGCTCCCATAGATGTACTTTGTATTGTTTTGTGTTTAACATTCTTAGTTGTTTGAAATGTAGCTACTCATTGTATTCTGTGATACTGTGAAGAGCTGTACAAATGTTTTTGTGGAAAGTTCCAGAATTGTGAAATGTTACTTTTGGTAAAATAAATTTTAGAAAGCTATTATCAGTCAGTTTGGTGTTCATTCAGTCTATTACGAACTTGTTTGCGCATTGATATGAAATGCGCAAACAGGTGCATACCTTTGTAACAACTTTTAATGAGTGCACAGCATTTTAAATTTTGATTGTTAAATAATAAGGATTCAGAGAACTTTATTAAAATTTCATGTATTTGAAATTTGATATGAAAATGCAAAATGCATTTACAAAGAACGTTAAATGTCTCTATGATTTACAAGCAACATATATCCATTCTTCACACAGAAAAGAGAACTATTGTTAGGAAATACATAAAATGTCAAAAAGACTATGATGTTAAACAAAAGGTGAGAGAAGAAAAGAAAGAAGGTAAGGAAATTACTGAGCATAGGGGAATGGACAAAGTGCATTGTTGCATATGATGTAAAAATTGAATTTTTTAATAAACCTGTGAAAATCGATTATTTAAAATTTCAAGAAGTTAACCGCTTGAATAAAATCAGAGGTGGATTTGTGAGATCAGCATGTTTCAAGTATCTCTAAAATCATAAAATAATTTTTATAATACAGTAAATTCCATATGCTCAGTAACCACAGTCTGCGTTTTAAGAGAAGGGAATTCCTAAAAGGTCAAGTGATATGAGGCCTTCATTGCAAGAATCTACTTTTGGAAGAAAAAAATAATAATAATAAATTTCAACCTGTGCATTTTATCCCAGGAAAAAGAAAACTGAAAATATGTATAAAATATGGAGATTTTCAGGTGCAAAACTAAATTTTCTCTCCTTACTAATTCGATGGCTTTTAAATATAACATTTCTCACCATCTCTAATCAGAATTTTATTTTATAGGTATATGTTATTTCCAGTTGATGAAAGGAAATTATTTTTAACATTTTCAAAATACGTTTAGATTTTTTACATATATATTAATTTTAGAAACCTTAAGTAAATTATTAATTAAATGTATATAAAGGGAAATTTTACATATTCAGTACTTTTTTCCAGAATCATAGTTGTGCATGGCCATTTCAAAAGCCAGTAGACAAAACAGAAGCTCCGGATTATTATGAACATATCAAATCTCCTATGGGTGAGTAGAAATACTCTTAGAATTAAAATATTTTTTCCTGATAAAAAAAATCATATTTTCTTTTTAATATTCTTTTATATGTTTCAGATTTGCAGACTATGACAGAAAGACTGAAAAACCGCTACTACAGCAATTTTGTTGATTTCCGTTCTGATATGCAAAAAATATTTAATAACTGCAAGACTTATAATAGTAGTGATTCAGAGTATTATAAATATGCTTGCACTCTGGAAACTCATTTCCAAAATAAAATGAGAGAGGCAGGATTTTCAGACAAATAAATTATTTTTATATCATTAACTGCAAAAACCAATTTTAATACCTTTGTAACAAGTTTTAAACAATTGTATACATTTTTTTCATGGAAGTAATGTCATTTCTAATACTATCAGATCTGAATGATGTTGTCATTATTTTTGTGTATGTCATAAGGTATCATTTTTGTGTAATTAAATTATTTATAAAAAATTGTTTTTATTATTTTTTAGATTTTTGTACATTTCATATTTTTAAGATATTTAAAAAAGAGACTTTATTATTTTTTTGAATTCATTAAAATATTTTGATGTTTTATTTTGGAAATTCAAATATGCCTCCAAGAATTCAACGTTCAAACCCCCCCCCTTTTTTTTTTTTTTTTTTTTGTTTTGTTTTGTTAAGAGTTGCTTTATGTTATTCATTGCAGTTCTGAAATAGAAACAATGTTAGATATTACATGTATATTAACTTTATAGGAATCATGTTAGTAGTATGCATTATAAAGGGCAGAAGAAAGCTCAGTTCACTTAAACCATAAATCTTTCTCATAAAGCAGACCTGTGCTGGTGACATAGCTGATTTTGTTCTTGGAAATAATTCACTGTTCTTCAGCAAACATGTGAGAACTAATTCACAGAAGCTATCGAGTTTAGTGGCTGTAGATGACATTACAGTTCTAACCAGTCCCGTTCATATTATTTCATAAATGTTGCAATAATAATGTTTTGCCTATCTCTTAAAGGGCCATAAAAATCATGAATAATATGATTTCAGAGATTCTCCAACATATCAAGGGAAAGATGTACGTAGGCAAATTAAGTTTAGTAATTAATTATGATTCCAAATTGGCCACATCCATGTATATATATATATATAACCAAGAAAATTGGTCAAATGTGACAGAACGAATGGAACCGTTCTCCAAGGCAGGAGAACACATGGATTAATAAATGTCATAAATTGGAAAAGATGTCTCATATCTGGACAAAGATCCTTCCCCACTTACTATTGTGAGAGAAATATCTACTTTTCAGACAACTGTGTTTGTGGAGAAATATGATCTCAAGAACACCACCTGTTATTGCCTATTAACACAAGCAAATAACATTTTTAGACAAACTATTAACAGTTTTGAAGATGTATCATGAATGATCCAGTTTCATTGCAAAATCAACAGTATTGTCAAATACCCAAGGCCATTTCTGGCTGTGGTGTAGCATGTAAAAGTACGTAGGTGGCAGGACTCTCACAATACCATGCCTAAATATTTTAAAATCATGAAATTCATTGTAAGTACTTGTCATATGTAAGTACTTTTTACACAATTTGTCGTATATAAGTACTTAGTATGAAATAAAAAATTTTATTAATCACTAACCCTTTTCTATTTTCAATTTGGGGGTGTCGATCTTTGGAAAATACGTGGGAATAATGACCTACGAATGGCCCTGCAAATACCTTCCAGAACAAGATCAAGGTATTTGTGAGCAATAATTGTTATGAAAAAGTCTATAATATGGAGTGTTATATTAGTATATATATCCTTTTTGTATGCTGACTTCATGGAAATGTTTTGGAAAGATAGCACAGATCTTCTGTAGGAAGCTTTGACTCTATCAATAGCATCATAGGACAGTACCTGTATTACCGTGTGGTAACGTCCTGGTGTCCCATTGCTGTCTTGTTTATGAAAACATTTAATGTTTGAATGAAATACTATTTTCTCGAGATCATATATTCGTGATTTTGATATTTTGATTATGGGTGGATTTCTTCTGGAAGAAGTGAATAGGACTGCTAGTAGAGATAAATTTATTAATAACAGTTTAACTTATTTGAAAATAAACATTTTATTACTTCTGCAATAAGTTGAAATAAGTAAGTTTTTCCCCGAAGAAAGAGAAATGTGGGGGAAAGTTTACTTATTTACTGATGTGGCATTTCAGTTATTTTCTTTGAAACATGTTGGCGTAATAAAAAAATTGTCATTATAATCTGAGATTTTAGAAGTGAATTAATTTTTAGTTGCATATTTAAATAATAATTTTCAAAAATATTTCTGTATTTTAAACATGACCAGTTTGTACAGTGTTGTATTTTATTCTTTTCTTTATCCAGTAGTTCCGCCTTACAAAATTATGAAGATTGCAAAAAATTATAAACTAGGTTATTGCTTGCAACAATAAATAATTTAGACCCAGTTTATCTAGATTCAGTTTTATTTTCTATTCTTTTTGGATAAATACACATTTTTTATTATTATATTACTGTATTGAAATGAAATTCAGTTTCAAAATGTATTCAAATACACAGAAGTGCATCTTCTGTGAGTCCTAGAGTGTACATATACAAGAAAGAAAAAATACAAAGTTAAAAAAACAGTTCTAAACCTAATCCACTGATAGCAGTTCGTAATGATGAGAAATAAAATTTAAAATGAATACGTTTAAAGGCCATCCCAAATTCAGTTCATAATAAACCACATGCAAAAACAAAAAGCAGAAGTTGCATATACACATATGTATATTATTGCTTATTCTTTTGAAACAATTATTATATGTATTATTTAAGTAGTATATTATTAGTGTAGGCATACAAGTGAGGTTAAATATGCATATAATGAAAATTGATTAGTAATGTTATGTATGAATAAAATGTAAAAATAATGATCCTTGTATTGAATATGTAAAAAAATCAATTTCTTTTGGCTGATTTTTCTCTACAGCGAGAGAAACTTCTCAACGATATTGAGAATACATTTTTCCAAAATCTTCCCACCTTTAACCTGATCATTTTCAGTACATTAAATCTCATATGCTAGAAAGTTAGTGTTATTTCTGAAATTTCACATAAACTGTGTTATGTAGTTGAATTTCAGTAAGTTGAACTGGCTGCAAATATGTTCTACTTTGCTGCCAACTGAACAGCTTCAAAAAATCTATCTTTCAGAAATTGCCAGAGTTCCTTAATCATATAAGAAATGCATTTCATCCCCATAATGTGAGACCACGCACAAGTTTAATCACCTGACAAAAATTATTGGAACTTTTATGAAATGCATTACCACATGTATCAAACTCTCCTGAATTTATGCCCTCAGACTTTCACTTGCTTCTCTTTATTCAAAATTTCTTTCATGGTATAACATTCAGTTCAGATGAGGCCATAAATCTGTACGTTATTCAGTTTTTCCCTGATAAAAGTAGTTCTTTTGTGAATGAGGAATTACGAAGCTCATTAAAGGAAAGCAAAAAGTTATCAAACAAAATGAGCAGTATACTTTTAACTGATCACTATTCTTTATATAAATAAATGACCTTTGAAGCATAGAGAGAAAATGCATCGTAACTTTTCAAGCCACCAAATAGAAAATCTGTTAGTACATGCGAAAGAAAAATGAAGGCATGATGAATTTTGTATATATGTAAATAATCTTAATAAACTTGTATGTAGATTGTAATATCTCTTATATCAGTGGTGTGAAAGTGATGGTCTGCTAATACATTTGAATTATGTGTTTGGTTTAAGTGCTTATAGATTTCAATATAACATAAATTCATTGGGCAGTGCATTGCAATATGGTGTTTATTAAGATAATTGAAAATCACTTGCAAACTTTCAGCAGTCATTACATTCCAATAGCACTGGTGCATAGCTAAAAGTACATATATAACAATGCTGTGACATCCCACAAAAGAACCTAAGGGGAAAAAAGGACAATAATCGGACTTTGAATGCTTTCATGTCAGGCGGCCATGATTAGTCTAAGGTGGGTCGTCAGTATGATCAGTGAATTTATTCACTAGCTGAAAGTTGGTAAATCTTTTATATTCTGGTGTGTCTTTTTTTTCTCTCTCTCTCTTATAATGACTTTGTACTTTTACATTCCTTGAAACAGCCATTAGTTGGTTGAAAATTAACAAGTCTAACAAAAGGATCTGATTGACTGATGAGCATCTACAATCCAGGATGAAGAGTTTCAATAAATTTTCTCCAATGTTACAAACATTATGAAACTCGTAATGTAAGATGTTGAACCGTAGTAAACAATGGAGAAATTATAGAGTCTCACTTTTTTTGATAGCATACACTAAGGCAAGACTTAGTTTTAGAACTAAGCGACTTACTACATCTAGATAAACAGTGTAAGAAAGGTGTAAAAGACCCTTTTATTAAGCACTCGGTAAAGTTGAATGGAAGGCACTCCTGATGCTTACAATTGGTCTAGCATTTATGGCATAAACTCAAAAGTAAGGAATTCAAATTTTAATCTAAATCTTCAATTAACCAAAGGCTACGCAGAAACATTTAACATGCAAGTTGGCTCAAACTTACACCAGCGTGACAACACTATTTGCAAGATTAAAGAAATGCCATAGACAAGGATGCTGTTGTTGAACATGCTCAGACTAAAGGAATCTGAAACCTTCATTTAAATGCGCACGAGCTAAAATTAGCAATTTGGCCAGAAGGGGCAGTGAAGTTTTGCAACATAAAATAACTGGTTAATTAAACTAATAAATACCTTATAAAATGTATAATTATTTACATACAATCTTATATTTTCTGCATATGTTGGTAAAAAATGTAATGTATGAAGGGAATATAATAGGTTCTTCATATTTATTCTGTTTTTGTCCCATGAGGGAAGTTTTCTAAGAAAATTTGTGGTAAGTTTTCATAATTTGTGAATTTTATATTAAAGCTAAGTTATATAGTGATTAATTTAACATATTAGAGTTATTTGAAATAAATCTCAATCTAGGAATTTAATATTTAGTTGCTAATATGTTTGAATTACGAAATGTAACCAAACAAAATTTGTTACAGGTAGAAAATAATTATGATAAATTACACTTTTTCCCCCTTTGAGTTTATTATTATTTGTTTATGTATGTTTTGATATCAGCAAGTGAAATTTGAATGCAAGTTAAAATTTAGTTAGTAATTTGAAATTTTGTTAAAAAATATCTGATCTCGTAGCAGCTTTCTGATTATATACGGGCCGATATCTTCTTTCGGATCGCACATGCGACCCGCATGCAATTTGAGTTTCAGACCACTATGTTATATAATAATGCATCGTGAAAGTCCTCAAGAAAGCTAAGCTACGCCGGAAAAATAAGGTTACAGGGGCAAGTAAACTGCCCTTCCTCCAAAAAAAAAAAGGGGGGGGGAGACAGTTCTATATCTCCCGTTCTACTCGGCCGATTGACAAAATTCCCACTTGAGTTTTTCATGTCTCGAAAGCGAAACTTAGGATATGTATTAGATTTATATATATATCAATCATTATTTTGGGCTTTTTCTGAAATGATGTGCTAGTTTTTTTTTTCCTTCAATTTGCCTTTATTAATATCTCTTTTTTATTAAACTTATTTCATTCTTCCTTTCACATTTCAAAATTTAGCTTCATTCCAAATAACATTCGCCCATTTTTTATGAATTTTTAAAATTTGCATTTTAAAATAAATTTTATATATTTTTCGAAAAAAATTGAATTATAATCTATAAAATTTTTACCATCATTTTAAAGTAGATGTATTTCTAAGCATATCTGCAAAAAATTACAAATTTTTTTATTCAAAATTTCCGAAGTTGGCCTTGTTCCAGCTCGTAAATGAGCTAGGTGTGGAGAAGATCTACAGTATGGAAACCTATCTTTCTTCAAAATCACTGTCGAGTCGTATGAATTTAAAGGCGGGTTGGCGCAGTGCCACAACTGCCAATATTTCGGTTATTCCTCGGACGAATGTAATCGCTCTGCCACACAAACGTTCGGATTATAAAGCAAATGAATTGGAAAACTGATCTGTTGCAAACGTGATGGTGAACATGCCGCCACTTTTCAACAATGAGGTTAGAATATAAGGAGAGAGGGTTCGCAGTTTCTTCCACTATCGGGGAATGAAACTCCACCGAAAAAGCGGCGTCCATGTTTGTAACTTCAAAACATTGCATTACGGCAGTGAAATGTACGTGTTTTTAAGCTGTTTCGTGCATGTATTTTCCACTAAAAATATGTCAAATTTATAATGAAATACTTCGCTATTGTTAGTTTTTTGTTTCAAAGTTATAAAGATGATATCCGTAATTTACTACGTACAGAAAACCATTAAGAAATAGTTCGAAATCTGAATGCATGTGCATAACATTAAAGCCTTTAAAAATAGAATTTGTTCAGGTTTTATTAGCAACTGTTGGGTATACTTTCCAGTTTTTCCTTTAAGAAGTGATATTTCTGATTTATTCACAATATTGTAATTTATTAAAGAATCATTTAAAATATATTTAACCTGAAACTAATAGCAGATAATTATCTAAAAAAATAGTCACAGGTTGCATTTTTTTTAAAAATGCAGTTTTAAGTAGATTCTTTTCACAACCAACAACCTTATAACAACAAGAAAATAAATATTAATAAAATAAAGTAGATTTATGTGAATTCAGTGATTTCAGTTTATGCGCGTTTCATATTTATGAATCTCAAAGAAATTGCCTTGAATTAAGCTAAATTACAGAAATATTTCTATATTTTTGGATACATCTTTAAACATGTTCATTTGTGTAAATATTTTACTTACTTTTATCACTATACTGCCCACAAATTTGTAAATTTATGCAAAAAAATTTTAACAACAGAAAAGTTAGTTTATCTTGATCAAATGCACAAATTATATTCTTAACAGTTCAAAAAACTTTAAAATGAATAACAATACATAAAGAAAAGCATTACTTTATGTAACACCTTTAAAATTCAGAAAAATAGTAACAACTGGTGTCTTACTTTTCATGAAAATTATCAAACGTTTTACCTAAGACGTTCAAATTATACAGTTTAAATCTTAACATACATCATTATATGTTAAGGAACAAATATACCAGCTATAAACAGAAACATTAAAACGTATTTAACATATTTTGATTGTTATTAAGTCTCTTTTTTTTACATCTGGAAAGAAAACAACATTGTGATATTTACCATAGTTTTCAAATTACTAAAAAAAAAAAAAAAAAAAAAAAAAAATCCATACTTACGCGTGAAAAGTAATCCCAGGAATCTTTTTCGAAAATCTGTTTGTGCATCCATATACAACACAAGTGACATGCTTCAAAAAGAAAAGAAAAAAAAATATATATTGCAATTACAGACTTCCTTGCATAAGTCACAGCGATAACAGGAACATGGCCGCCAAACTTCACCGTTTGAGTTGAACCTTCCCTCCTTCTATTCTAACCTCCTTGCTTTTCCCAGCCTCCTCCCCTTTTGACTACAGGCATGGACTAATCGTAATTTTTAGGAAATTTTCTACTTCTTTTCCTTTTCTTTCTGTAGGCCCTTTTTAATTTCCCCCCCTACATTACTTTGGGCCATTTATTTTAATTTTATTTTGTCCCATTTTTTCTTCCTGGCTTTTTGAACTCGTATAAAGAGTACGAAGTTCCTTTTTTCTCTCCTCGGAAACACGAAATTGCCAATTTTCTATCTATTTTTCCTTCGCACCTAAGCTTGATTTTTCGCCCATCGGAGCAGAAAGACTTAGCGGGTGCAAAACAAGACATCTGTCTACCTTGTCTGTCTGTCTGCTGTCATCCAATGAACATACGTAAAAGACATTCTGAGAAAATCATTGATTCTAGCAAAAACAGCTCTGGACCACATTGCAAGGAGCCACAAGTAAATAAACAGGCGCGAGAAACTATCGCCGAGGAAATTGCTCCTCGTGGTGATAAGTAAATCTGGATCAGATAAAAAGCAGAACTATTACCAGTTATAGATTATCTTTTGCTAAAACTTCTGAGAGGCCAAAAGCCTCAGTGAAGGAACATACTAAAAGTACAAATAGCATATCTTCTATTTTCGCGGATTACTCGATGGAGGTAGGTCGCCAGAGACCAGGTATTCTGGTGTTTCGACCACTCGAAGAAGCTATTTTGATCAAAATTGTAAAAGCTTTAAAAATATGCGTAGAGTTTTGCTTGTCTTTCGGACACCTAAAAGGCAGATAAGCGAGTTATCGCTTCAGTGGTGATAACAACTGCGACAATTAAGAGGACAAAAGTTTTACACAGCATAAAATAACCTTTTTACATGCCTTTTAACAGAAGGCCTTCACTTGCGCTTACAAAATAAAATTCCATTACTTGCAGGTAGTTGCATTTAAAAACAATATGAACTGAAAGTTTAAAGTTTCGTAACATAGTCAAAGACTGCAAAACATGTTTTTTTTTTTTTTTTTTTTTTTTTTTTTTTTTTTTAATTTTTTAATGGCACGTATTAAACGTCGGCTAGCAAAAATGTGTCTTAATTAATTAATCTCTATTCTGGTGAGAACTATGAAAAAAAGAAGTTTTAGAAAAAGTTTCAAATCTCACGAATGAGGTAATAATTGAATATTTGTAGTTTGATCTGGTTTAAGTTCGAACCCAGGCGAACGTGCTGCATGCATGGTTGGTTTCCGTGGTTTTCCCGGTGTGTCATATGAATACGAGCAAGGCCTTGATACGAGTCAATTGCCGTCAAACTTCTCCACGAAAGCATTTCTCGTTGAATTAACCTCAATAACCTTATAAAATTTCAAAACAAAATATTTTTTCTGGGAAAGCGTGAGCTTTCTTTTAACGTTTACGTTAGCTTTTTTTTCATGGCTATGGAAATTTATCTCCTGAGCAACAGTTTGTTTTAATGAAAATTTAATTTAACAGTATTTGTTTTGTCGAGATTGGTAGCGGTTTTCGAATACTTTTCTGAGGGTCTGTATCGAGAGGTGTTCGAATACTTTTTCGAGGGACTGAAAAGGAGTTCGAATACATTTTTGAAGTACTGTACGCTTGATTAAGTTTAATGATTAACCATAGGATTATCGCCGAAGTCCCACCCAAACCGTCCACCAGCGGTCGAGTGGTAAAATCGCTGAATACAGGTAGTCTGGCTTGGAGTTGGATTTCAGGCGATTGGGCTGATGGCATTGGCATTTTTTGGTTTACCCATGTGTAAAGTGGATACAAGCAGTTTCTCCTATAAGTCCTCTATGAACGCATCCTTCCTGTTAGACAAATAGACCTCTCCAGCTGTGCCATAATCAAATAAACCCAGCCAAAAACATTGAAACCTATGAACTTTTACATTCAGTTATATCTTCTTTATTCGTATAGAATCCTAATGAACATGACTCTTTATTTTCTTAAAACCATTTCGTTCTAAATATTTTTTGCTAATATTATAAAAATAATTAAGTAAGAAAGGAAACTAATTTTTTTATCAATCTTAATTTTGTTATTTTTGATTTGCAATTACTTTTTTTGATTAACTTTGCGGGAAAAAGATTGCAAGAACGAGGAGTAGTACAAATCTGCATGTGTAGTTTATTACTGTCGTTTATTTCTGATCATCTGGCCAGAGCTGTAGTTTTGCATCTGGCTGCGTAAGGTTTTTATGTCACATGATAAACGAAATAAGTAAAGGTATTTAAATCTTCGAATATCTAAATTGCTTATGTTTATAATGCTAAATAATTTTTTAATGCATAAAATATCCGAATTTTATAACTATTGCTAAGTCTTCAATCAAAACATTTGTGTTGAAAGCGTGTTCTCCTTTTTTTTTTTCTGTTATGAGTAACTGTTTCAAGATCTTGAGAAGTAATTTAATTTGTTTATATTTTCAAAAAATAAATTTGTAGCACAAACCATCAAATAATAGTATTTTAGTTGATCTTTTTGTACCTTTTCTATATTCAAGACGTGGGGGGGGGGAGGCGTAAAAGAAAACAGAACTGTGCCGTTATCTAAATGTCATTATTCATAGGGGGAAAAAATAAATATTCATTTATACTGAGGAGATTTGCATTATTATGGCACGATCTGCTTCAAGAATAGCAGCTATATCGCATCAGTGTAAAAATCATCATTTACAGCCTGAATCAGAAAATTATTATTCTGAGAAGTTGCAGGTTTGTAGATGGCCTTTTTATTGTGTATGTAATTATTACATTATGATTGTATGCTATGGGATAGAGATTTCAAAAAGAAATTGTTGCATTTTCGAATTCATTCTGTAATATAATGTAAGCTATAATATATATATATATTTATTTATTAACTTTAATTTCTTACTTACCTTAAGTTCACAAATTGTAAACATGCATTCCATTTCGTAATTTTATATAAAAATATTAAAAAATTTTATGAAGTCGCCTTTAAATGCAGTTGTTAATTTATCAGTTTAAATTTTTAAAGAGAATATATATAAAACGTTTGATATTATTTGCTGTTAATATTCTGATGCAATTGAAATCAAATTCCATTTTCCAAATGGGGAGTGGTATGGTGAATATTAGTTAAATGTGCTTTTATCATTGAAAATCTAAAATCTAGTAATCTTAGTGCTAGTAGTGTCATTCATTTTAAAGTAAAATTTACCAGCCCCATAAATTTGTCCATATGATCGATGGATTGCCATGACAGTTTAGCAGGGTGACAAATCAGCATTTTGGGTGTTGTCCTTTTCATAGTTACTTGCAGTTATTAAAATGACACCATATTCATTCTGTTATCCGAGTGTTGGCACCATAGCAAGGTCAACAAATTTGGCTGATGATTTACGGCCAGTTGGGTTTATCACATGATTCTTATTCACTAACAAAAGCAAAAACAGGGTGGTCATCTGTTGTTATAGATACGGCCCAGTAGGTCACTTGCCTTGAGAATACCTAAATTTTGATAATTGCACTATAAATTTGAAAAGTTTACTGTTACTGAATATTGGGTAAAATCCAAAACGTTTCTGTCTGCTGCTAAAAATGATTTTTAAATGGACCTTACTTTGATAAAAATTCTGGGAAGTAATGTAAATATGCTGAAATGTCTGAGAGTCAGATTGCTTTAATTGGCTCAAGTGCAGAATCGCCCACTTATGTGCCGTGTGTCGATGTGTACATGGACAAAAAAGTCAAGGGAGTGTGCAGTGCCAAGTTTATGCAATTCTCTGATGTTTTTTTAAGTAGATTGATGTGTACATGGATACCGAGTTTGTGCAAATTCTTTAACTTGTTTTCTTCAACTTAGCGATTTTGAGAAACGTGCAAAGCAGTGGGCGATTCTGCACTTTTTCCCTTTAATTTTCCAAAAAACGTTTAAAAAAAGGGAAAAAAAGAAAAGAAAAATTATTTAATTTTTATGAAATTTGTCTCTTTACATTGGAACTATTAAAAAATATGCAGAAAACGTATAATTTAAAATGTGAAATTTAATTACATAGTAGATGTCACTTCTTTGATAATGTGAAAACAGGTACTATAATTCATTGAATACTCAGTGGGTGTATTACTTGAAATAATTAAATTTGAATTATTTGAAATTACTCATAATGTTATGATATGTGTAACTTTTTTAGTTTAATGTTACTATTTGCATTTTAATTGACATTGTAATCGATTAACTTGTCTTATTTTTTAATATAGATGCCAGTTGGAGACATAGTTTGTGAGAATAATCCAGAGGTTTGTTTCATTTAACTAATTTGCAAAATTACTGCTGAATTATTCACAAAATTACTGCTGAATAATAAATAATCCAATAAAATTAAATATTAGAACATTTAGAGACATGTAGCATTCATATATTTGAATTTTGTTTCAGATTTGTTACTATAAAATTTTAACTGTTTCGTTTATATTAAAATCGTATAGAAATGGAATTCAGTATAAATGTTATATATATATAATTATTATATATTTTTTCTTTTTCTGTTATACAGGGTGTAATGTAAATGTCGTGATAAACTTCTAGGGGAGGTAGGGCACATCATAAGAATTAAGAATTGCACAGGAACTTATACCCGGAAATGTTGGGGCTAAGTGATAGCAGAGGTAGAAGATGGGAAAGGAAACAAGAGATTGATTAATTTTTAAGCATTTATTGAACATGAATACAAATGGTGTTTCGACAGCTTGAATGTTGCAACAGATGCTCAAAGTTTGCACCATCAGACACACACACATACCAAAAGAAAAGAAAAAAAAAAAAAAAAAAAAAAAAAAGCACCCAGTGATTTTTGGTGATGTCAAAGTTTTGTATAGTTACATGACCTCTGAAGTTATCTCTTAATTCAGTAGCTGCCTAAGCTACGAACTGCAATTCAATTCTTAATCGTTTTTATGCATTTTTGTTTCCATGAAAATTTTGAAACTATGTTGCTAATTATCCATTGTTTAAGCATTCATTTTTTGAAATTAATTCTCAGTTAATTTAGGTTTTTTATTTTAAAATTAATTTGTTAAACTCAATTGTTAAATGCTCTCTCACATTTGGATTGTTTTTTTTTTTTTTTTTTTGGCACTATATATTATTATTATTATTATTTATTATTGAGTTGGCAGTTCATTTTTTCTAATTCATTATTTTTACTTCATTTTAATTCTTAATGATTTTTGGTGAGTTTTCCATTCTGCTTGGTTGGCTTGTTTAATTTTATTGGATTCTGATTACTTATAAATCCGCATTTTTTCATTGTTAATTTTTTTGTGTTATTTAGAAAATTGATTGTGCTTTAAATTTTAAGTCATCTCAATTGTTTAGTTCGTAGCAATATTAAAATCAGAGAAATGAATTTCATTTCTCTCTTTGATTATCCAATATATCATGCTCAGGCTACAAATTACTTCATTATCACCATAGAATTGGAGGCAAAACTGACTTAAAATTTATAAAGTAGTAAAATTACCAATATCAGTATTAAGGTGTGCAAGTCCTTTTTATACTCTTCTGAAATATTATTTCTTTTATTACTATTATTTTATGGAATTAACTTATTTATCTATAATACAATATAGTCTTTGCTCCATGAGTCCATACGGATAGTTTTTTTTTTTTTTTTTTTTTTCCATTTAAAAATAAATCAGCTAGTATTTGAATTAAAATTATATATATTACAGAACATGTTATCATAACATACTTGATTAATTTACTAATGCTTAGAAGGAAACAAAAATCATATAAAAATGTGCATTTTTTATTCTACAGTTATTTAAAAGAAAATTGAATTTAATAGCTCTTCATCCTATTAATTTTCTTGGTCCTCATTTCTTTCTTTCTTTCTTTTTTTTTATAACTATCTGAACTACATATATGCATGGGTGGTAAAGTTACAAAATAAATGCAGCAGATATCTTTTTCTTTCAATGATGTCTTCATTTAAAGTATGGAATCTAGGAGTTTCCAAACACAATCTGTTTTGATGTTTGGTTTTGGTCGAAGTGACTCTTTAAAATTCCTTTTTTATAGTTGCATTGTTTATTGGCAAACTTTAAAGATTAAACAAAGCAATAAATAAAAGATGAGAAAACATTAGTGACTGGTGCTGAAATCTGTTTGCACCTGCTCAGTAATCTCAGAATTGTCAGTTGCCAACTTTAACGATAAGATGCTAAATTTGAGCCTAAATAAATATTGGGTATGTATTTAGCCTAATACTGGCTTATATTTATACTGCTAACATGTACATAAAGTGTGTACGTAAAGTATTAAAGTCCCGGCGAGTCCAGATTAAAGACTTTGCACTGTATATACAGTACAAATACGAGATCTGAATTCGTTGGACATTGACGATTTCAGATTTTCCAGATTTACAGATCATTAGTTTAAATCTAGTAAATGGCATGTTGAAATTATAAAGTTATGAAACAGTGATTTATGAAATAATGAAGCATTTGTAACCTTAAAAAAATAAAAAGTTACACACACACACACACACACACAACAACAAAAAAAAAAAAAAAAAAAAAAAAAAAAAAAACTTAAATATTTATTTGTGCTTTATTAAAAGTTACTTCAGTATTGATAGTGATATTTTCTTGATTTGGAATCATTCTACAGATTTCACCTTTTTTTAAAATTTATTAATTTATTGACGATTGGCACAGTGACATTGCAATGAAAAACTTCTATTATATTGTCTTCATTTATTACCACTTCTTCCCATTCCTTCATAAATTCCATAAATTGGAAAATTTTGCTTTCTATATGCGATGTCTGAAAAACTGAAATTCACGGCTGTCATCGTAAAGCTTAGTTAACATGTTTTATAACTACTAGCGATGCATCATGGGAATGATGTCTAAAGAAATATTGTTCTGCTAAACTTTGTCTTCCTCCTATTGCATGCTGAGGAAGTTCAGTCTCTGTGAGTCCAAAAGTAATCCATGCTTTTGTGCTATTTTTTCGACTTGTGAATAAGTTATGGCTCTTGATATTAAGAGCAAGTACTAATTAAGCATTAGTTCAGATTTGCTTTACTATAAGGAAACAATATATGGATTGACTAAGCAAGTATTTGTTTCTATTTGTAATGGGAATAATTCTGTACATTGTAAGACTGTTGGCAATTGTGATAGGCTTTGTTCAGATACCAAGAAATCCTTAGCAATGGCATGAGGATTGCATATTTCATCTAAAGGTTTTTGATATCTGAATATCTCTTATGGTACATTAAATGGAGTCCAACATATGAACATTTTAGCATTTTAAAATGTAACTGTGGTATTCCTAGAGACTTGATTTAAATCAAATGAACCAACATATATCTCTGATAGTTAAAAAAAAAAAATGCATACTCCTTTTTTTTAATAATTATACACTTAATAACTGTAGTTTTCTTATACAGTCAAAAGTCTTTAATCCGGACTCGTCGGGACTTTGGCGATTCCGGATTATCGATCATCAGTTTAAATCTGGTAAGATGGCATGCAGAAATTATAAAATTAAAAATATGAAACCGTAATTTATAAAATAATGAGCAATTATGATCTAAAGGGTATCAAAATTTACCAAAAAAAGAAGCCTAATATTTATTTGTTTACTTTATTAAACATTTCTTTCAACGCGCGGATGCGTAAAGCATACCTTACGCATAGCCGAAATTAGAAAATTGCAACCAGAAAACTATTTGATGTGTATTCGTGATATTTATAATGACGAGGAAATTTGATTTAAATCATATTAAAGACGGAGTAGTACATCGAGATGAAATACTACATTTAGTAAGGAATTATAAGCCGAATAAAATAAAAACATCTGCCCTGAAGAATAACGATAGTGTTTGACAGATCAAACTTCCAGTTCATTGCGCGCCGCGAACGTCCCCCCCCCCCACCCCGCGCAGAGCAGCGTCAAATTGATAAACAGATTTCGGAACGGTTTGATAAACAAAGGATATGCTTTTATCCATTTTTTGTAGCAATTCGTTTTTGTTTGATGGACATCGAAACATACTTTCGTTTTCTAGATCCTTTGGGAGCTCCAGCATCGGAAATTCTATTTGACATAATCGAAAGTTCAAGCTTACTTTTAGAAAATTGCTCTTACAGTCTGCAAAAAATAATAAGCCGGATCCAATTCGAAGATTAAGGAACAACGCAATTATCAACATTAACTGAAATAGATAATTAGATAATTTTAGCTTATACCGTTCGTTATACATTAAACGCGCACGCGAAAACGTATTCTGCACTTGCGCAGACGCATATGCGCAGTCGTAAATGTCTTGCGCGCCGAGTAAAACGCCTATGCGCATGCGTCTATGCGGCGCATGCGCAGAAAGATTTTAGCTTTGAGGTCCGGATTATAGATCATTCCGGATTACGGGTGTCCGAATTAACGACTTTTGACTGTATACCTAAGATTTGAGAAAGGAGAAAAGTTAATATTTTGCATTAATTTTTTATTTATAATTGAATATATTAAAAATATTATTAAGAATAATAATGAAATAAATAAGAATTCATGCATTGTCTTAAAATTTAGTCTACTAGCTTCTGTTTCTTCTCTTCAGAATGTCATTTATTAAGAAATTTCAAGAATGAAAAGAGCTTCGATGTTTTCTAAAAAATCAAACTTTTGTTTTTATTTTCTAGGTAGCTGAACAGTTTCTGAGAGAGATGTTACATAGGTTAGTATTTTTAGTATATGCATATATTTATTGTATTACAGTGGTATTTCATTTGGTAATTACTGTTCTGCTCATGAAAAGGATGGTAAGCAGTAATGGGTTGCATTGCAGTGATATCTCATTTGATATTTTCTGCTTTGTGCATTAAAATCAAGTAAGCAATAATAGATAAGAAAGTATAAAAATTGGCCGTAATGTAGAAATAAAAAGAAAAGTAATGCTTTGGATTGGCTTCATCATCTGTTTCTAATACAGTTAAAAATCTGAAGTACGTACATTTTCTAGAAAACTTTGCTTAGCCAGGATCCCTAAAAAATTATACTTACTACCATTAATCAACAGATTAATGGTAGTTATAAAATCACATGTATCTAAAACCATTTAATTTTTTCTGTGATAAACTGGTGTTTGAGGTTTACCGTAAATTTGGTTCTTTAAGTGACAGAAAACAAGATCAGTTAAGGTTAGGTGCTGAATGTGACAATCAAATTTAGTTTAGACTTCATCACTATCAACATATTTGAAATTTTTTTAAACCTTCATGCTTTTAAGAACAAACAGCAGTTTAGGAATTTTGCTGTTTTATTATTTGTTTGTGACTTTAGACTTGAAATATGTGTTGATTTTTCTTAGCACAATGTGTTTGCAATAAAAAAAGACTTGAAGGAATACTAGAAAACTCACCTAAATAAGTTGTATTAGTTCAGATTTGCTTGAATATAAGGACACAGTATATGGATTATCAATGAATGAAGGAAAATTTAACTTCTAATGACTAAGCAATTATTTGTTTCTATTTCTAATGGGAATAATTATGTACATTGCAATATTGTTGTCAATGTTGGTAATCTTTGTTCAGACAAATCAAGAAATTCTTAACAGTGGCATGAGGATTGCGTATTTCATCCAAGAGTTTTTGGTCATCTGAATATCTCTTATGGTACATTAAATGGGGTCCAACATATGAGCATTTTAGAATTTAAAATGTAACTGTGGTATTCGTAGAGACTCAATTTAAATCAAATGAACCAACATATATCTGACAGTTAAAACAAAACATGCATACTCTCTTTTTTTAATAATTATGCACTTAATAACTGTACTTTCTGACATCTAAGATTTGAGAAAGGAGAAAAATTAACATGCATTAATTTTCTTTTTGTATCATGCATCTTTCTGTATTTCTGGCCATTAGAAGCACTTTACAACATATTAAGCATCTGAAAACAAAGTTATCTTGTAGTGTCACTAAATTTTTACCATGTGTGTACACATTTATCTTGAACAGGTCTGTCTGTTTTTAATATGGATATGTGTGACAAAAATATATGTTCAGTTGCACATGCAGTAATATCATAATAATCACAGTGAATGACCATACAATTGAAGCTGTAATATTTGGTTCACATATTTAATAAAAAATGATTAATCAAATTATTTCATGTTTTAGAAAGACTGACATTTGTATGAGGGTAAAAGCAGCAATACCAAAGTATTAGACATTAGATTATTGGAATTTATTCAATGAATGTATAAATAAAATATAATGTAGATATTCCAGACATAATGTCCATGAAACTAATCATGAAGTTTAATTTCAGAAGTGTTTTGGTCAAGTAACTCTTGTGATAATTCATTGATAATCAGAAAATTATAAAATTGGCTGTTTGCTTCATTTTGGGAGGGTGGATCATTACTCCCCAAGTAGCACAGCAACGTTGTAACGATGTTACAAACTCATCGCGGATGTTGTCGCAAAAGCATTGCAATATGTCGTCTTTAAGATGCCGAGATGTTCACGAAACTCCGCTGTTTTGCACCCGTTGTAAAGATGTCTTTATTATGTCTTTGCAGATGAGGTTTTTTATTGCACAGAAGTCATTATTACATCTTTCTTTGGTTATATTTCAGTTGTGAAAGCATCGTGTCACAATGTCTTAACGACGCCTAAATGTTCGCAGAATTCGACCTTTAAGTTTAAGTAATTTATTTCCTGAAAACCAGAAGATAATACAGTCAAAAGTCGTTAATCCGGACACCCATAATCCGGAATGATCTATAATCTGAACCTCAAAGCATCGACGCATGCGCGTACGGCTGCGAATACGCATGTGCAAAATACGTTTACGAATGCGTGTTTAATGTATAACGGACGGTATAAGCAAAGCTAAAATTATCTAATTCAGTTAATGTTGCAGATTGCGTTGTTCCTTAATCTTCGAATTGGATTCGACGTATTATTTTTTGCAGACTGTTCGAGCAATTTTATAAAAGTAAGCTTGAACTTTCGATTATGTGAAATAGAATTTCTGATATATATTTACTAATATGTAAAGGATCTACAAAGCGAAAGGATGTTTCGAAGTCCATTAAACAAAAAGTGGAATTGCTGCAAAAAATGGATAAAGTCATATCCTTTGTTTATCTAAACTTTAACGTTTGTTTATCTAAACTTTGTTTATTTTTAACGCCGTGGCGCGGCGCGCAATGAATTGGCAGTTGATCTGTCAGCACTATCCTTATCTTCGGGGCAGATGTTTTTATTTTATTTGGCTTATAATTTCTTACTAAATATAGTATTTCATCTCAATGTACTCCATCTTTGATATGATTTAAATCAAATTTCTCGTCATTATAAATATCACGAATACAAATCAAATAGCATATCTCGAAAAAAGCACAACATATCTCGAAAAATCACAATCTTTATTTTTTCCATGCATATCAAATAATCCTTTTTCAGATAAGATATTTCTTAATAATATTTGAATAGAATAACTCCCATTTTCAATTAGAACGTCATCTTAAGTAAGCAGCAGCATGGTGTAAAAGCGTCTTGTCAGCAGGAAATCTATGCGGAGAAAAAGGAAAGGTTATACAGTCAAAAGTCGTTAATTCGGACACCCATAATCCGGACCTCAAAGCTACAAATTTTCTGTGCATGCGTCGCATTGACGCATGCGCGTAAGACCTTTACCGCTGCGAATTTGCGTGTGCGCGTGCGCAAAATACGTTTACGAATGCGCGTTTAATGTATAGCGGACGGGATAAGCTAAGCTAAAATTATCTAATTATCTATTTTAGTTAATGTTGCAGATTGCGTTGTTCCTTAATCTTCGAATTGGATCCGGATTATTATTTTTTGCAGACTTGTTAGAGCAATTTTATAAAAGTAAGCCTTGAACTTTCGATTATGTCAAATAAGAATTTCCGATATATATTTACTAATATGTAAAGGATATACAAAGCGAAAGTATCTTTCGGAGTCCATTAAACAAAAAGTGGAATTGCTGCAAAAAATGGATAAAGGCATATCCTTTGTTTATCTAAACTTTAACATTTGTTTATCTAAACTTTGTTTATCTTTAACCCGGTGGTGTGCATTGAATTGGAAGTTGATCTGTCAGCACTATCCTTATCTTAAGGGCAGGTGTTTTTATTTTATTTGGGTTATAATTGCTTACTCAATGTAGTATTTCATCTGGTCTTTGATATGATTTAAATCAAATGCCTCGTCATTATAATTCGCTTCCGATAGCGAAGAAAGTAACAGAGGTTATTGAAAACGAAAAATTTCGATTGACAAATTAGTCGGTATTCTCGGCACAGCAATTAAAGGGACTTGAACAGCGGAACTTTGTAACTGAACAAGAAATTATGTCTGTTTATAGAATTAAAGAGAATGTATCATAACATAAAAAACGAAGCAACTTAAACAACGTACATTGAAAGAAATGTTTAATTATTAAGTAAACAAATAAATATTAAGCTTTTTTTTTTTGTAAATTTTGATACCCTTTAGATCATAATTGTTCTTTATTTCGTAAATTACGGTTTCATATTTTTAATTTTATAATTTCTGCATGCCATTTTACCAGATTTAAACTGATGATCTATAATCCAGAAAAATCAATAATCCGGAATCGCCGAAGTCCCGCCGAGTCCGGATTAACAACTTTTGACTGTAGTACTTTCATAGCAAGACTTTACAGCAGTACTTTCAAAGAATTAGCAGTACTTTCATAGCAAGAAAGCTGAAGTTTCAATTGACAGTTTTGGTTTAGAATTAATTTGATTGGACGAGAGGCATCTGCATTAAAACTTTACATAAGATAAAAAAGTCTGGAACCTGTGAGAAGAGATGAATTTAGGGGTAGATTATCAAATTTAGAATGTTAATTTTGAGGTCATCAATTATATTTTGAAACAGCTATCATATTTTGTTATATCTTACATATCCCCCCCTTCAAAAAAAAGTTGGGTAAGCAGGGTGGAAAAACAAGCATTAGAGCAGCAAAATGTGAAAGATATAATTTTGAAAATACAAACATATTAACTTTTAAACAAAAAATTATTGCCATAAAATTTTGACCGATATTTTGAATCAATTTTGACATTTCACTGAATGTCATAAAATTTAGAATTCAATAATAATTTTAGACACTGTACTCTTTTAAAACAATTGCACATTTTATTGTTCTGAGATAAGAATGTCCAATGAAATGTTGTAAAGTTCTTTATAGTTCCACATGGTAAAAGTTCAAATTTTTTCACAAACTAAATGTTCAAATAAAATTCTTTCAAAATTTTGTTGATGAAAATATTTCTATTATATTACAAATTAAGATGCCAATTTTCATATTATTTAATTATGTTTTCCATTGAAGGCATTTCAAAATATAAAAATTATGTAAAACATCATTCATAAACACAATTTCAAATTTTTCACTATTATTAAGACATTTAAAAATTATTTATTCTTTACAAAACTTGAAGACTCCACAACTTTATCTAAATACTAGCATTTCCATCATATTGGTTTAGCCGAATCAGTTGAGCAAACTGGTGTTTAAGTATTCTTCACCAGTGGCCAAAGGTAGATGTTGCCAACTTAACAGCAGTTACTTGTAAAAAAGGCCTCCGTTCCTTCTGTAGAGGCAACTTGCCTTTTTCGAACTGCTGTCATTCCATACAAATATTAAAAACACACTCCATTTTAT